TATCACCACCCTGCGCACTCGTGTCCAGCTCGACCTCGAGCCGTATTATTGTGGCGACTTCAGTTCGGAGAGCGATCCGGAGGTGAAGGCAAAGTTGGACGCGTGGCTGCTGCACCTGCCGCAGGTACTCTGGGAAGTTGGAAGTAGTCATATCCCAACCGTCGAGGTGAGTAGTGGGCCATAGGCCATCACGTTCCTTCACACCTTCATACCTTTTTCATTATCCCATCCACGCAACCGTGCATCCACTCATCCGCCCGCGTTTCCTCCCCGTGCCAAGTACAACGCTATTTATACCCACTCACGCTCCGATCCTGGCAGGTCATCCTCCGCGTGCTTCTACGCGTCCTGCAACGCCGGTCCAGGACAGCAACTCAATCAGAGGTGCGTGACCTTGCCATAATACAGCCCCGGGTCCTCCTCCTTCCTTCCTTCCTGCCTGCCTGCCTGCCTACCCTGACCCTGGTGATTCATGCATGATTCATGATTCCATTGGGGGTGGGGTGCGTTGGGTGGAAGGGCTTGTGTGGAGTCATCAAGGCAATTGACTGACTCTGGGTTTCCCGATGACGCACAGATGACCGCTTCGCTGCAGTCGAGGCTTGTCCCGTATTTCTACATCGACCATCCGAGCCGCGGGCCCCTGGCTGGACCGTTCAAAAAGCTGCCGCCCCAAAGTGGTGCTACGGCGTCCCGAGTGCGCCTTCTCGCGCTCGATGTGGTGGCTACAGTTCTGGCTTTGGGGAGACAGGATGGGAAGGACTTCGACGGCTTGGCTAGGGCCGTCGGGCTGGCGGTTGCCGGAGAAGAAGAGGCGACGTACTGGGCTCACGTTTCCATGTCGAAGTAACAATGAAATTTTCGAGCAACTCGGCACAAGAAAATGGCAATGACGCCACAGTCATTCCTCCCTTCACTGTCCAGGTGTTCTAATCTATTCCGTTATTCTATTTCTTTTGCATTGAGAAACCAGCGACCGTCAAGGCCATACAGCGTAAAGCATACATACAAGGCCAGAGCAAGTAGTGTAAGCAGGGGGGGATATCGACGAGCAAGCTCGTACTGCAGTGGTATCAAAGTTGTAATTAATGATAAAAAATGGTGTCGTGAGCAGGAGTGAATGCGAATCAGACCATCTATCCAGCCTTCTTCACGTCGTAATGGCTTGCATGGGGAGGGGAAGAAGGGAGCGAGAGTCGAGGAAGACGCCTCTAGCGCCGCATATCGCCGAGCGGATACAGCGAATAAAGCAATGGGAAGTATAGGAGTGGAGTGGCAGGGAATCTAGTCAGAATGATGGACTAGATGAAAGCCATGGCGTGCGGCGAGGGTGGAATTAGGCCCAGACCCAGGTGACGCCAGAGAGACGACCCAGGGCAAAGTCAGCGAGCTGGTTGAAGGCGCTGGGGGAAAAGTCGAGGTCGGTCACAGCGCAGCCCTCACAACGGTCAGTAAGAGCAACGGTGACGCTCTTTCCCTTGTCTGTTGAAAAAAATGTTGGGTTGGACGCGCATCAAGAACAGATGTGAACAAGAGAACACACATGTGGCTATAACCTTCCTGCCGCACATTGGGTTGTTGTTGGGGTTTCCACCCTTGTATCCGCTACGAAGAATGAAACGCGTCAAAAAATGTTTGATGTTTGATGGGGGCACAAGCGACATACGGGTAGTTGTCGAAGAGGAGGTGGGAGACTGCAGCAATGTAGTCGGTGTCCTTGTTGACGATGCCGCAAGCACCGAGGCCAGCTGGAGAGACAATGAATTGGAGTGTGAAATGAGAAGAGTGTGACGACGTACTGGCATAGAAGGTTCCCTGGCCGGTCTGGGTGCCGACCATGAAGCTTGGGAGGTTGCTGTTGTTGCTACCGCCTGACGACGCCCTGGTGGTGGTGGGTGCGGGTGCAGGTGCCTGTGTGGTGGTGGTAGGCCTGGGTGCCTGGGTCGTTTGCTGTGCTCGCGTTGTGGTTGAAGGGGGAGGAGGGGCGGCTGTTGAGGACGCGGGGGTTGTTGAGGGAGCAGCGACGGCGGACGAGGACCTCTGCCTGCAGCGCTTGGAGTTCTGGCGCTTGCGAAGGGGAGCAAGGGGGATGTCTACGGGAGCGGGAGCGGCGACGCGAGCAGCGAGGGCATGGTGGTGAGCCCTGACAACGTGGGGGGTCGCGAGAGCGTTGACGGAGGCGAGGGCGGAGAGGAGGAGGAGGAGGAGGGCCTTTGCGAAGGACATGATGTGACTGTGGAGGGATCGACCTTGGTTGGAAGAAAAGAGTGGAGGGTCTTATAGCGGGACGAGATGAAAGGAACGAGGAGAACGAGGCAGCCGCAAACGGAAGGCGTCCTGTCCGGTGTTTGGTCCCTGTTTGGCGCGTTGCCACTCCATGCTCCCAACACGCCCAAAGATATTCCATTGCACATCTAATCAAACAGTGCTGCCTGCGTTCGCTGCATACATCTTTACTAGTCCCGTGCTCGCCGTGCCCCCCAGGCTCCTCCCTAGCGCATCAATCTTCCCCAGCAGCAGCAGGCTCTCCAACCGGCTCGGCTCAGCCGGAATCTTGAACAGCCGCGACACATCCTCCTCCGGTAGGGGTGCAAGGCCCTGTGCAACCCGCGTCTGGTTCTCCTCCTTGCGTTTCGCAACGTAGTTCTCTGCCTTCGCACGCTCTCGGGCAATCTGCCGGCTCATGTACGACAGGTTGCCCTCTTCTGTCCGGTAGTTGTCCACCGCCTCCACGATCTGCTCCAGGTTGCGCGTTATCCCTCCCGTTCCGAGATCAAGCACCGAGAATGACGGCCCAAGTTCGGATGTCCCCTTGCCCAGCGTGGCGCTTGAGAGGGGCGCTCGACTAGCTTCGGCCAGTGTTCCGAGGAATCCACTCAGCAGTGGATTCGTCCGGATTTTGAGGGGCACTTCTTCCAGGATCGATGAAAATGTAAGTCGATGATTTATCAGGCTGCACAGATCCCCATCCATTAGCCTTCCATTCCCTCCAGCTCACTACAAAGCAATCCCCTTACCTCGATGTGCTAAAGTTGGACTTTTTATATGCGTCTAAAAACGCTGCTGTTAATTTGTATGCACGAAATGATGCATTACCCCGTGCCGTCTGCGATATATCTTGCACACGCATATGAGTAACGAAATTACAACTTGCAGGAACGTGCTCACCATGTACAATTACGATACCCCCGTGTCTGAGTTTATCCTGATGGATGGCTTGGGTATCAATCAACGATTGGCTGAAAAACGCCCCTAGCGTCGTAGCTTGGTAAAATCCGACGACGCTGTCGTCTGCTTGGACCTCCTTAAGTGAACGCAGCATGGAAGCCTGATGCCGTGCTAAAATTCGGGGCGTCTTCTTCAGTGCTCCAACCCACAATGAACGGATGAGCCCACGCACCACTCGACTTTGCGGACTTGTCGTCATCATCGTTTACATGCTGGGGGAGAGGGAACGAGTTGGACACCTCCAGGATCCCATCGAGATCAAGCCCAAGCAATAGACCATGAGCCGTCGTCGAAGGCGCTTCCCGTGCGTGTTTAATGATTTTAGTGACAACCTGCGGAATAATCCCAAATAAATTCAAGATCTCTTCATGTCGCGAGCAACATACCATGCCATCGAGCTGGACGCAGGTGAGAGGAATTTCAGCCTCGATATCGACGGCCTTGGCCATTGAGGCAGGGATCGCTTCGTAGGTGGGTGTTGGGGCTACGGTGACCGCAGCGGGAGCTGGGAGAGACGCCGCGAGTGCGGCTGCCATGGATGTTGCTGCCATTCTTTGCGCGAGAACGAAAGGTGGCAAGGCTGATATCTGTTGTCTTCACTGCAGTGACAGTACGCGTTTGAAAATCAGCGAGGCAAGCGTGGCCAAACAGCCGCCCTTTCTGACGTAAGGAATGGTGTCTAGACATCGGAGTCGGGCGGGATGATCACAAAGCTATTTCAGGCCTTGACCATCATCATCACCACAGCCAAGGCCACAGCACAGCGTACTCCGCCCAAGTGCACACCGCACCGCGCGCGTTCTCTATTGAGCACGGATGTCCAGCAAGGCAGGGCAGCGACAGAACTACGGCACCCGTGTGGTTGCAACTGATCCGCTTATTCATCAGGCAAGTTCCCGATCTCCCCAATACATCCCTTGTGCTTTTCTTCATTCTCCCTGTCTCTTAAGGCGCCTCCTCCTCCCAACCCGTCCCCCGCTGCCACAAAGGGCACCATGGGTCTCTCCCGGTCGGCCAGGATCACCATCCTCCTCGTCATCGATGTCAGCTTCTTCTTTGTCGAGCTCATCGTCGGTCTGTAACCAGCCCACCACCGTTGCTGAGGCTCATTGATTTCATTAGGATACGCGGTTGGATCCCTGGCTCTCGTCGCGGACAGTTTCCATATGCTCAAGTACGTGTTGTATACACATTATCTTCAAGCTGCAGCTATTTAAGTTGTTGCCCGCAGTGATGTCATGAGCCTGCTGGTTGCTCTATATGCTATCAAGGTGAAGCCCATGAAACATCGTCCATGAACCGTTCTGACATGCTGCGTCTCCTGCAACAAACAGCTCACGAATGAGAGCTCGTCCCCAGACTCGCGATATTCATATGGGTGGCACCGTGCAGAGATCCTTGCGGCCCTCATCAATGGTGTCTTCCTCCTTGCCCTTTGCCTGTCCATTTCGCTGGAAGCTATCGGTCGGTTCTTCACTACGCCAGGTATGTAGGCCTCGTTCTTATCCATCCACACGTGAAAGGATTCTTACCACCGACATTGTTGCGCAGACATCTCGAACCCGAAGCTTGTTGTCATTGTGGGATCTTTGGGCCTAGCATCGAATATAGTCGGTCTCTTCCTGTTCCATGGTGAGTTTGATGTTTCTCCAGCTATGGCTGTTGACTCGTCGACTAATCGCCGTTCCAGAGCACGGTCATTCGCATGGTCACTCACATTCACACTCCCCTTCACCTCGTTCTTCCAAAGCTACTTCTCGCGCGTCTAGCATCGCCGCATCCTCGAGCACAGAGAACCTTCGGGATGGAGATATAACACCAACCCCGAAGCAAAGCATTCCGATTCGAGGCCGCTCTCCTGTCCGTCACCAGACACATTCCCCCGCAGAATCCTTCTCCCTCTACGGCCATCCTGCTGCCACGCGCGCTTCACTCGTGCAAACGGCCCACGAAATCGCGCGATCGTCGATCGATTCCGTTTCCTCCCCTCTTCCGACCCCCGCTCCCGGCCAACATCTTGTGCCAGTCCCACCAACGCCCTCAGAGCCTTCGCCTCTCAACGGTACCAGTGAGGGTACCCCGCTTCTCCACGATGATGATGACGGCCACGATCACAAGCACGGACACGGCCACGCGCATGGTTCTATGAACATGCGAGCACTTGTCCTCCATGTGCTCGGCGACGCGCTTGGCAACGTGGGCGTCATCGCCACAGGTCTTATCATCTGGTTGACAGAGTGGAAGTACAAGTTCTATTGCGACCCGGTGATCAGCTTGGTGATAACTGTTATCATTTTCTCGAGTGCTCTACCGTTGGGTACGTTGTGGGTTCTTGTATGCAGCATATGGACTTTAACTGACCCAAGTGTTTCCTTACCCCGGTATCCAGTCCAGAGCGCGTCCTTTATCCTTCTGCAGGGAGTTCCCTCTACAGTCTCGCTGGAAGAAGTCAGGGATTCCATACTGGACGTGGATGGCGTGCTTTCTTTGCACGAGTTACATGTTTGGCAACTCTCCGAAAACAAACTTGTAGCGTCCGTCCATGTCCTTGCGTCACGGAACCACGACTTTATGCCTATTGCCGTCAAAATCCGCGAAGTCCTCCATCACCTCGGCATCCATTCATGTACGATCCAGCCAGAGTACCACTCAACCTCGACGATACCGGATGAACATCTCAAGGTATGTTTCGCTCATACTACCGTCATCTCTACCGATTTTGAACCTTCTTTCTGCTTTAGACGTTGGCCAATACGTCATGTCTTATCTTGTGTCCAGCAGATGCCGCCTGTAACCCATCAGAACACGCTTGTTGTCGTAAGTGTCCGTTCTAGCCCTGCATTGAGATCCTGTATTGAATCTTGCCGCTGTTAGCGCCACAAACAGTCGACGTCTAAAAGATGTCAAATTCACCACCATACACTATTAGCCTATATATTGCACATCGCATTTTTATTACCATCTCATGTTACCAATTCACTTTTGAAAACCGGGAAGTTGGCAACGAGTGCCTGGGATGATGCTAACTGCTGCAGGATCGTTCTGTAGACCTGGCTCGCTCGATTGCTGCGCAGATCTAGCGCCAGGCGGCGCGCCATGGATGTGCTTGACTGCCCGAGCACCAGGCGGTCGTCACCCGAGACAGATCTCATAGCCCATTCCAGGTGTAAGGCTGCGTTGAGTGTCGAGGAGACGATCGCGACTACTAGCTCAATGCTCGTTTGATCGGGAGGTTGCTGCCTCTCAATTGGTGCGATGACGGAAGGGAGGACGACATGCAAGAAAATGGGCAGCAATGGGAAAACCGTCGAGTCCTGAGGCATCGTTAGCACGAATGTCGCTATTCGTCGACACGCTTCGACTTCTCCTAGGCTTGCAGCCACTTGAAGTTCCGCCCACAATAACTGGAGGAACTTGATAGGTGGAAGAAATTTGAGGCACCTTTTCACATCCAGGAAGGGTGTCTTGTGAGATCGAGCCGCCGTGAAGGCTGTTTGAATGGCCTGCTGGACCTGCTGGTACCAGATCTGACCAGTGGTGGGTTGCACGGGAAGAGCATCTGCGCCAATCTCCAATTAGAACAAAGGAAAAAATCGTCTAAATGACAATGGGAAAAAACGTCGAGAAAAGCAAGAACACAGCCGTAAGGTTTATGTGTTTTGTGCTGCGGATCGACGAGCTTGAGTGAACACGAGGGGACCTACCTGCACCACCCTTGAGCCCGATGCTATCTGCTACGGCTTGGCGAATGGCGGAGACATTGAACGAACTTGGTATTTGAGGCTGTTGGCGTTTCCTTTCAGAGAGGAGTGCTATGAGTTGTGGACTACAGAGCGCCAGGACAGGCTTAGGACAAGACGGAGACAAGATGAGAGACTGAATAATTTCGTAATGCAATGCGAGCAGTACGGCTGCCGGGATGCTAATAAGCTCTTTGTGTTAGCACCTTCATCGTCAACCATCGTCAACCGGGGACGAAAACTTACTGCTTGTACAGGGCATCGCGTGCGAGAGACTTGACGACACCGACTAACGTCCAGTTCAGCAGGGGCCCAGTGAAATAGGAAATGCCGTTCATTAGGACATCTTTTTCGAGTTTATGCGATGCCACCATTGAGATCGCCTGTGCGATGAGAGAAAGCGCGATGCGGAGCAAGACTTTCGGTTTTGTGGCTCTGCGATTATCATTAGGAATTTGACATATTTTTGACTGCCGAGGCTAGAAGTCAGTCACCTGAGAATACCGTCTTCGATCCCTTCGCTATTGGTATCAAATAAGGCTTTGAACCACGAACCGAACGCAACCATATCTTCTTGTGGTCGTTCATGGGGTCGTATTGTCACATCCGTATTCAGGATGTGTGTTGACACCTTTCGACCGTTCTTTGAAAGTGCTGCACTGTCGAACTGGTTTTCAAGAATCATGTCAGAAACGGCAAGGAACACCCAAACAAAAAAGAGGGTACCTTGAACCTTACGAGAGTGTATTGCAGAAAAAGAACCACATCCCCGAGGTGGCTAATAGCCGTCTGTGGATCAGCTGGAGAGAGGCATCATGTGAACAACGGCGAACTCAGACAAGCACGGAGCTACGGTAGAAACGCACCGACAGTCTCGCAGTCAAAGTCTTCGACAAATTGTAAACACGAGAATATGATGTCGTGCATTCCCACATGGAGAGCCACCATGTCGAGAGCATGATCAGAGGTGTGAAGGATTTTGCAAGCATGCCCTAACGATTCTACATCTGAGGAAATGGACAAAGAAGAAAAACGCTAAACCAAAAAGTGGTCAGCCCAATGACCGTCCACTTCAGAGGCCAATTCTTACCTTGAGCATCACATTCGCGAAGACAGCATGACTTCCTGGATCTTTCCAAGTTCGCTCGACCCAGATTTGAGCGTCAGTGATATCCTGGTCTTGCATCAGCTTCGTCTCGAGATAGGCCTGGGTCAAATAAATAAATCAAATTCCAGCAAGCTATTCTTGAACGACAACAAACAGAAGCCACGCACAGAAAGCTCGAGACCCATATCATGGGCCTCTGCATGCCATTTCGGTGGGCCATCATTCGATGCCAGAGGGTCGAGTTGTGCTGCAAGGGCAGGTGTGACAAGACCGTGCTTCAGCAGCTGCTGCAGAAACTCGCGAGAGAACGATCTCGAACTGCGGGAAACCGATAACAGATGTTCGAGATTTAGCCCAGAAATGCAGACGATTCAGCAGATGGTCCTTACGCGTCTTCCTCGAGCGTCTCCGGGGTGGCGTCGCGCGTGAGAGCATGGTCAACTTGAACAATCACATCAGGACGGTGAAAGACGGCTGTCAGGCCTGCATGAAGTCCGCCCCGCTAATTGGGTATGAGTCTTCGTAATGGCAGCAGAAAAAGAAAGGACGCCGTACCAGGTCAGATTTTGAAGAATTGTCTGCATTAATGGCGTCCGCAAAAGAGGCTAGGAGAGGAGGAAGCTGAACTCGGTGGCAAACGAACAAAAAGAGATGAAACAAGACGGAAGAAAAAATCATCAAGAGGTTGAAAAATGAAAAAGACAAATGAAGACGTACCCGACCGACAATGAACGCCTTCCATAACTTCGCGTTGTCACTTTGGGCAAGACATGTGAAGGCGGATAGCAGGAGCTGTGTGTAGAATACGGATGGCGTCCAATTAGACCAGCGGAAGCCCGCAACCAGCAGCGCCACCGCGTTCTTGAGCTCGCCCGCGCCCCACTCATGCGCCCTGTACGTAACCTGGAACGGAAATACGGGTGTCAGCACGCCATTCGATCTTCCCTCACGCGCGGGCGGCGGCAGAAAAGAAGCATCCACTTTCCCCCTCAATAATTTGCAAGAAGGGTGAAACCAGGGGGTGAGTAGAAGCGCCGCTATCAGCGCCCGTCGTGCAAGGTTGAAATTACTGACCAGATGATTGAGTAACATCCCCAGGGTGATGACATCGGTCTCTGAGCTTGCACCCAGCATGTCGCCCTTGCCGAGCGAGAACTGCATGGTATGCATCATCTGGGCCTCCTTCGCCAGCTTTGCATCGTCGCCGATGAGGAGCTGCAGGGTGACTGCGAACGAGTCGAGGACCTGACGCACTTCTGGCGGGACTTGGCACGCCGCGAGCGTCTCGTTGACCTCGCCGAATGCAGCCAACGCTCGTGAGGTAGGCACCGAGCTTATATCGGGCACACACGAAAGGAGCATGACGAGCAGCTCTGCAACCGATTCCGTGAGCTGGTGGAAATGGGATATAGGCAGAGAATATGCCGTTCGCAGCAGGGCGAAGCCATCCTCTATGGTCCGGAGGGTCGTCGTTGGAGGATCGTGTACGGACACGATGGATCCTAGAGGTGGCCGTCCGGTAGCGTAGTGTGCTTCGAGCGCAAGGCGGACGAGGGTGTCGAGTGTTGCCGGGATGTGCAGCTCCGAGGAACGTGCAGCTTGAAGAAGAGTCGAGACGAAGATAGGCACCGGAAGGAGATTATCCTGGATCGCTGCTCTGATGTATTCCTGGAGCCCTGGATCACCGGGGTACGAGCGATAGAGCACAAGGACAGAGTCTGAGGACACCTCGAGATGGCGATGCGTGATTGAGCATTCAACAAGGAGATGGGATACGCACTGCTCAAGCTGGTTGCTACTTCATCTGGACTTTGAAAGGTCGAAGATTTCGACAGCAAAAGTTTACATAGTCCAAGCCACTGCTCTCATGAATAACCTTCATCGTTCAAGGAGCGCTGCAGACGCACCTTGGAGGCCGAAATTCCACCCTGGAACGAGTGCTGGGTCAGCTCAGCCAGTGACATTGATCACGAGCCCTAGACAGCCGGGGCACGAGCAGGGAGAAGCGAAGGCTGGAGCTGGATTTACAAAAGGAGTGAGAAGCGCCGTTCGAAGGGTGTGGATGACGGGTTTCAACAAGATCGGGATTCGTCGAGTTCTTCCGGCCCAGTGTAGCGAGCAGAACGACAATTTCCTCAAGCAATTGTATTGTTATAGGCTCGCCATTAACGCGGATGTATGCGCTCGTTGCAGAGAAAGGGCGGAGGAGGAAAAGGCGGGAATGTGGAATTCAAGTTTGGAACCAACAGCGGTATGGATGACATAAGCGACGCGTCTATTTATAGCGAGGGGCGCGTTCGGCGCACGTCGTTTGCGTGTCAACCGACCAATGAAATCACGTCCATCACTGCGTGCTCTTTATTGTGCAAAAGTATCGAAATCTGATCTCAAATGCTCAGGTCGTTCATGCGACTCTCGAACCCATCACCGGCCTGGTTGCCACCCTCGCGACTGAAGACCTGGTTGCGCAACCCGATAAACTGAGTGGAAAGGTGGTGATTAACAAGGGCGGCCACTGGTGTGAGTAGAGACGCCTTACCCGTTGCTCTTCCTCGAGCGTGCGCCCATTAAGACGTCGGGTGTTGTGCTCCATGTGCACGAGAAGGGTCTGAAAGGCAGTCGTGTCAAATAAAAATTTGGCTGAGATTTTGGCAGACCTACTCGAATAGATTGGCTGCTGAGACCGCGATAGGAGGGGACACGCTCCAAAGCGGGAGGGGTGACGCCGAGAAGCTCAAACTGTTGGTGAAGGTAGAGAATATAGTGCTCAAGGCATTCGAGATAATGGCGCTTTTTTTCATGGGAAGAAATGGTGTCCCTTTGATTTCGGGCGTCAACTGATGAGCTTTCATTGCAAGAGATGGACCTACGGGTCAGTGGGGACAAAGCCGACACTTTTTGCCATCGCACGTCGGCGCGCCTTCCGAGCTGTCTCAGATCGAGCATCCGAACCAAATTCGTCGTTAATCGGCGGCAGGCCCTTGGCTGCAAGCTCGGCCAGGAGCTCGCTAGGGGTAGGGAAAGTGGGCTGGGCCATGTCCACAGAGCAGAAGTCTGGATTGATGATAGAACCTTGCGGCTCGCATATTGCACGCGAGGTGTCATTTAACTGCGCTTCCGGCGAGTAGAGCACTGGCTGCTCCTGCGGCTGAGGGCACTGGGCCTCGACCGGCTGGAAATCGGGGTAGAGTATGGGCGCTTGGCTCGGCAACGGAACCGGTGCGTGAAGCTGCAAAGGTTGTGGGCCAGCATCGACTTGCTGGATATATGGGTTCGGTCCAGCGTACTATCTTATCTGTAAGCGCCGAGACGATGATAATGTCGGGGGAGGCATACCACATTGAACGCGTCGGGGATACCGACGGTGAGGGAGTTGGGCTGGATGGGATACGACGGGTAGTCCATGGGTGGTGGTCGTGGCGAGATGGAGCAGAGGGACGGGTATATAAAGCGCATCTGTGTCGATCTGGAAAGACATCTGAAAAAGGCGACCGAGTTGCTTCTTGCGGGGAGATTCAAACTCCGCCGCGCGCTTCTTGCCCAATGAGGCCAGATTGCGCGTTTCCCACGGTTCGAACGCAAGAAGACGAGATCTCTCTCCTCTCCCGAATCCCAGCAGCCCGGTTCTGCGGTGCCCAAGATCTTCTGCTCAGTCTCTCTCTTTTTCTGAACCTTTTTTTGTTGAGCTTGGAGTTGTCCAGGGACTTTCGGGACACAATCGAGCGTCGTTACGACACTCATCCGCGACCCTGCAACACCCCGTCGTGTGGCGAGAGCGGCTTCGGGTGCCGACGTGGGCATGCGATTTCCATTCTTGCTCCTGTCGACGAGCCGCCGCTGTAGAGGCGCGCGACGTGTGCAAGATCCCAGATCCAGAGGCGTCGCACAAGATCTGGCCTGAATCTAAGCGCGGATCGGGGGCAGTTGACAGTTTAACGTACTCAAGTCCCCTCTCGAAAAGGCACGGACGCAGCATCTCCTACCCACACACCGCTCCCAATGGCAATTGTCTGCCATCATCTATTTGTTTGCAACCAACTAAAAGAATCCGACTTTTTTTGTGGCGACTTCTAAATCTCCGGTTGCATCCATAGCGTCACTTTAAATAACTCTCGCCGTCTTTCCTACCTTCACTATTTCCCTTCACCATGTTGTCCCAGTCTCAAGCCGACTACTACACCTGTGCAGCTATGCCTTACCCCATTTACACATCGACGGGCGCCTTTTACTCCGAGACGCCATCTCCTTCATCTTCTACTAGCAGCCAATACAGCGAGAGTCCATCTCCACAGGATTACAGTTTTCCAGTTGGCTCTATCCCAGCTTACTACACGGTGCCGCCTGCCTACCAACCTTACCTCGTTCAGCCACAGACCATCCAACAACCACCTCCTCCCCTTGCTTCAATCGCTGCTCTCCCCACGGCCGGCCACGCTTCTAACATATCAAGACCGTGTCCCACAAAATCGTCAAGGAAAATCCAAATCCCTCATCCGTACGCCCGTCTGTTCGCGAAGAAAGACGAGGTCAAGCGACGCAAGATCTGGAACCACGCGCTCGAAAAATCCATTTTCACTCCGTACGAACTGTAAGTCCTCTCCCGACGCGTCTATTTATCCTTGGCGTCGCTAACGACAAACGTGCGGACAGGTCGACCATTGGCGCGCCTCAGCGACGCATGGTATATATCTCGAGCCTAGAGGCCCACATCGATCGCCTCCACACTCAACTCCTCCAGTAAGCCCTACGCTTCGCTCCTGCACAATCACCCAACTACCTAAATCCATCCGTCTTCCGAGGCGATGCTATATTTTGCGTACACGCTTGGCGCACCACCTTCCTCCGAGTCCGCACACCCGCACGAGCATAGAGCTAATTTTGCAATCGTCTCCTCCCCCAGATTGGATTTTTGGCCGGTCGACTTTGCCGAACTAGAGCCTTTCAAAGGCCTAAATTCCAAGACTGCGAAAGTGAGTAGTCAGTCACAGGTCCTTTCTTCTCGGGGTCTGTCTTCTGGGCCCGTGTGAAGTCTCTCAACCGAGAAGCTTTTTTCTTTCTTTGCAAACGGCCGCTGATGGTATTTTTCTCTCTCATCTCCTCTAGAGCATGGTCGCAGGCCTGCAACACGACGCCTCCGTATCCAAACTCAAATTACTCGAACTCGAACGAGCGGTACGTGCAGTCCGAAACCGTGACTTTAATTTATCTAACCCCATCCTGTCATTTCCCAGAACGGTGATCTCAAAAGAGCCCTCGAGAACTTTCCCTCAGAAATTTGACCTGCCCTGCCACCGTCCCATCGCTATTGGCCCTCGAGTCCCAGTCGGCTGGGTTGGTGCCTCGTTGCAGGCAGTCGTCTCAGATCATCATCATTAATACAAGCACTCTATTTACTCACATAGACAGACCAAGGGTCCGCTGAACTCTAATCCCGCGCGCATGACTATCCCTTCTCGACCTAGCGCAGCTCTCTACCGGCTCCGCTGGTCAAACTCTAAAAAATCGGTTTTTCTTCCTGTTCTTTAGTTGTACTATAGTTGGTAAATATTTAGAGAAATATTCACTCATTATTCTTTGACACCAGCCGTAGCCTGAGTCTTCTAAGAAGCCGTGAAAAAAATGACGATTCATTCCCGCTTGATGATGCGTTGATATTGATCTGTGGGAGATGGGCTCTCGATACGCGGTACGGTTTCAGCGCGAGGATCAAGAGGGGAAGGTCGCACCTGGTCTTCGATGTACGCCGTTACCCCAGACCTGTTGGGAGTCAGCGGCGCGATGGACCGAACGTCAGATAGACTGAGGGCGGGCAGGTGTACTAGCATGCACTGGCCAAAATGTCGGACCTAGGAACGGTTTCTTCCAACTCGAAGGTGTAAATTCATCTTTGCATTCTCGGTTAAGTCGCTCGTTCTTCCATTACATGGTCTCCAATTCCTCCTTACGGCTGCCAATTCAATGGCACAAGAACGAGTCCAAGAAAGAAGGTCTGGAAGTATAAACTTTTGATGTCTCCAGGGCGGGTTGGAGGATTTTCTATCACCTTGACCATTTCCACTGGCGCATCGTATTGATTGGTTGAGATTTGCGGTTACGCCATTGGTTTTCTCGAGTTCAAGCTTGTGACCAACGCCGTCGTCTGTTGTGGAGGTGGAGATTGCGCCCAAGAGAACGAAGATCCTCTGTGACCATTCGCACACAGCCTAGGAAGACGGTTCAATGGTTTTCGCTCAGCTGTCAACTCGACTGAAAATAGAGGGTCATGCGAACGGACGCGGACCGCAATTCACTCAGCATCGAGAATCGTGAAAATGACCGTTTGATTAGTGTATTCCCGAGCCAAAACATTGCACATACTTAACGGCATCGAAGGCAAACACGCCACTGAGTCGCTGCCAGACCCATGGCTCGTCCAGGAAAATTGAATGGTGAGGGACCTCAGGAAGAGCGGGGCCGACGTTTTGGTCATGATCGGCGTTGCAGACGTTCGAAAGAACAAAAGTTAGAATGAGACGTAGGTTTCCAAAATGATCAAAGGGCAAAGTCACTCATTCTGGCACCATCCCCTCTGGTTCTACGGTGATAGGGAGCAACGGACGGGGGTTTTACGGGTGCTTCAGGTCCTGAGTCGAGACGAAGGGGTTATTATCATGACAGAAGCATAAGAGTAGTCCGAATGACAATACATCTGTTTTTGGGTTCAGTCAGTCATGTGGAGAACGGGAAAGAAAAGACGGTTTAAAGGTCCATACATGATTAGATGTTATCATCGACTCCCTGGTCGAATTTATGTTTCGATTTGCCCGCTACTTCCGTCATTCCCTTCCCACTTCCTGTAACACCAACTGGAATACATGCGTAAACGTCATCAGAACGTGCAGAAGAATAACATATTCAAATAAAACGTACCTCTTCCTAGCGGATTATCTGGCGTCTTGAAGATGCTCGTCCCAGAAACACCGGCGATATGTACACCCTTCTTCTCAGACTTCTTTGCAAATTTCTGCCATGTCGCTTGCTTCTGCGTTTGCTCCTTCGATTTGGCCGCCTTCATCTCAAGCTTCTTCTCGTTCTTCTTCTTCTTCTTCTCTCGTTCCTCCTCTTCCACCTTCGTGAGCTTGCGCTTGCCGGCTGCAGGGGCTGTTGATGCGCTGTTGTAATTGGGGGGTAGGGGCTTGATCTCCGAAGCCTTTACGAGTTCGGTCGTATTGTATCCTTTGAACACGATGCTGTATACGGCATTATCTGCTGCGCCACCAATAGATGTAATACGTGCAGGATACCAGGCGCCGTCGCCGGAGTACTTGGCTAGACATTCGTCTCCGGCAGACCAGGCATGTGTTGGTGTGAAGTTTGAGTGTTTCCGATTGTTCGTCTGTTCGGATTTGGATGAAGCAGCAGCCTCTGCCTGAGCGATGGCAGTTTGCGCGAGTGCTATGAGCTCCTTGAGTTCATCCCTAAGGGAGCTGAGCTCAGAGTTCCCGGGGTCATCAGAGAGAGCCAATTCCACTTGTGACAGTTGGACTTGGTAGGTCTCGAGATCGGTTTTGTCCATTGCCAAAGGGTGAAATTAAGAGACTGGATGTGTCAGAGAATAACGCGAGAAGGATTGAGAGACCGTTGAAGCCGAGACGATAAGCAATTGAACGAGTTCAAGTTACTTGTTTGGCAGGCTGGAGGAATCCACACCGTGTGAACTTGATTAGAAACACCATCTTATCTCGGTTCGGGATTTGATGGCGCCACCGTGTGTTGCAGTGCGAGAACAAATCCGAATTGACTATGCAAGAGACAATGAATTTGTACAACATGTCACGAGTAGTATGTCTGCCTTTAACCCCATAGTCCAGCATGCTCTGACAGCTTTACCCGTTTGTCCTGCTTCGCTTTGCTTCCTTGCGGTCGACCAGCATTTCTGGCCGACCGTCTCGAGTGATGCTTTCGTTGCTGTTGTGTTCGCCGTTTCGCAATGTCATGCGAAACAATCGTCTTGATGTCGGGTGTCTGGCCTGTGTGCTCCAGCTCCTCCTCTTCCGAACTCTGATCATCTGCAGCTGGAGGGCTGCTGCGTCGTGATTGGGGAGGGGATCTTGACAGCTGCCTATCCGAAATATCAGATAGGCCAAGAGCTTCCAGGTTAAGATCGCTAGGATCCATAGCCTGAGGTTTTGGAGGTGTTGGGGCATCTACTGACATGGGAACTGACCCGCCTTCCTCAAGGTTCGTCGGAGGCAAATCTTCCGATTCGATAGTCTCTTGCTGGATTTGTTCGATCTCTTGGATCTCTTCGCTGTCCTCCTCTTCACTTTCATCCTCGCTGTATACCTCTGAGCTCCGTCCTTCTTGCTCCTTTACAGATTCCATGTACTGTGGAGGGGTTGAAATTAGGGCGAACAAGAAAGGCGTAATGTTGTCAAACTTACCTCTTCTAATACCTGCATTTCCTTTCTTCCAAAACCGCTGGCCTCCGCCATCACATCCAATTTGAATCCTGGCTCTGCTGAGCCCTCTTCCAGCACCTTCCTGAATCGAGGGTAGAGTGAACTTTCATAACGGAATCTTCTCTTGAAAAAAGTTCGTATGCACTCGACGTCTCGATTAAAGTACCTGCTCATTCATTAAATGGCGATGATATAAAAGAGGTACAAACAGACACACACCATTCAGCATTTTCATGGGATGTGCTAACCATCTGAGGAAAGTCGATGACAACGGGCTCTCCAGTTGTACGGCGAATAAGAATGTTAAACTCGTTGTAGTCACCATGAATGAGTCCGGCTTGTGCAAAGCGAACTATGACGTCCATTAGCTCAGAATACAGCTTTCCGGGGTTGGCAACTTCTGATACTTGGCGGCTGTGCAATGCTCAGAAAGAAAGTAGACGAACAAGAGGCTAAAACTTACAGAGGGTACGCATCTATGAATTCCATGAGAATAGTGTGTCGTGCTTGGTCGATGGGGCGAGGAACGGGGAAGTTGTGTTCGTGTAGGATCTGTTCTGCCTCAGTAAGTTGTAGCAGAATGAGGAACACTGAGCGTACCTTCATGAAAGCCCATTCTTTTTGCGCTGCCAATCTTGACATATACATCCAAGATGCTGATTTACGCTTCCCTAGGTAATCTCTCTTCTCCTTGATGGCGCGAAATGAGACGCGGCCAAGTCTGATTGAGCACATCGATAAATATGCCAGGGAGAGAAGCAGGAAGAGTCTCACCTGTGAAGCTTAAGAACCATCTCGTTACCCTCCGCATCAGCGACGATGTAGATATCTGGATGATAGCGTTTAACATACGACCATGAAAGAAGCAAGTTGGACATACCGGATTCCTTCCCGACCCCGATCTGGTTTCCTACTGAATGCATGGTGTCTCTCTTCGACAAAGCACGCATGGCAAGATAGTCATATCCGCCATATGTCAGACGATAACCGTCATCTGATTTTGCATTGTCGGGTTATTACAGACTTGCGACATGTTCCCGGAAGTCGCTCACATTTTGCGTTCTGAACTTTGGAGATCAAGTTGCGTTTGGCGAGCGAGCCAACCAGTTTATTGACCCCGCCATTCCGCAGCCCGGATATCTGGACAATGAGAGATAATGGGACGATCTCATGGTTCTTCGAGCCCATTTCTACCTAACATGAAGATGTTTCATAAGGTTACTCCCGCACTTCAGTGGAGAAGAGGGCCCACTGCAGTCAGCACCCGGAATTCATCTGAGGTGACATATCTCAGATCTGTTGCGTCGAGCTTCATAGCGCTTCGTGCGAGATAGAGGAAGGAAACTAGGGCGAAGGCAAAAAGTAGTAGACTCGCCAAGAGCTCTCTTACCAAAAACAGACGTCCCAAATATGGGTGATTGACAGTATGCCAAGCATTTCCATCTTTACCTCGAACTGCCTCGAAGCCAGACCTCCGAACATTCTATTTCCATCTAGTAAAGGATGCCGAGCTCAAAGGCTGTAAAATTTGCCAATAAGGTATCATACTCTGCCATATGTCTCCTATAGTAACGCGTCATTTCAACTTCGACGCGTCAGGCTTCTTCAACTCGTCTTGCGAACGTCATCAGTTCAACATATGACCTACCTGCATTGTGAGCCCGTCATACGTGACTTTTGATCTAGTAACCTTTACTTTTTGAAGGCCATGCACTGTTGTGGTTTGCCACTCTAATGAATTAAAGAAGAGCGAATGCAGCGCAATCTGGGACATATTCGAAGTGAATATGCGAGAACTGTAAGTAGCCAGAAGCGCTTCTCTCCCGAACGGCTATTCTGACTTAATTCTTCTAGGTATACGCCATCGTCTTTTGGATGGAATCCGGAATCCAAGCGGAAAGAGTTGTTTCATTCGTTGTCACGTTTCCTCCTCGTATACAAGACTGGAGATTCCAACATTCTGGCGTTCGTCATGTTTCGTTTCGAGACTGACTACGACGAAGATATCATCTATTGGTACGTGCTCTTTTCTCTTGTTCAAATCCGAGGATGCAAGGCTTACTATCACTAGCTATGACATCCATGTATCATCTGCTGCCCAAGGTCTGGGACTAGGAAAGAAATTGCTTGGCGAACTGGTAAAATTATGTGGAGAATATCAAATGGAAAGGATATTCCTCACAGTTCTGAAAGGTGTGCCTCGAGCTCTGGCTCTATTCTTCCGCGACTCTAATTTGATTGCAGCGAATCAAAGGGCGGCCAAGCTGTATAAATCCATTGGGTAAAGTACTTTCTCGTTTCAACGAACTTTAAACTGATACACTATATGGTAGATTTACTCTTGATCCTACCTCGCCTGGTTATGTGGAGGAGGGTGGAAGCATGGAGGACGTGGAGGACATGGATTACGAAATTCTATCTAAACCAATATAATGAATTATCCCTTGCACAAGGTTTTCCGATGAATGAACTGGGTATTTTACTGAGAAAAAGAAATAAAAAATAAGAAAAACTCCTCGAGATCATCTTCACGACAACACAGCTAATGTCAAGGACTCGGACGCGATCCCAATACCCCCAACAGGAATGTGCCCTGTCTCCAATACACTGCGAATAGTCAAAACATCAGAATATACCCCCTAAACGGTATTATTGAATTTTTGGGAGTCACATCACACCCTCTCAGCATTGACCGCTTTTGCGACATCGTAGAACACCTGCCAGGAAACGTCACATTTACACTCCGAAGCAATACCGACTTTATGGGGGTCGTCTGCACCTCCCTTAGTCTGTTACTGTTCAAAGGATCAAAAACCAATGTTATAAAATTGTTCATCTTTTATTTTGGCCATTCTGATCACATAGAGTGGCGTGAAGTGGCTTGGGGGCCATAGGCGCACATGCAAACTGATGCTGGCCCCAAGTCCATGACCTCCAACTCCACTCGCCTTGATCCCAAAAGTATGAGTCTTATGCTTTGGAAGCCTGTGCCTGCGACTGATTAATTTAAATATGAATAATTCAATATTTTCTGTGCTTGGGACACCTGAGTAAATTGAGTCAATTTTGGCCCCATAGATGACAGGTGTCAGACTCGGCCGAGGCGTCACAGACTTAGCCTTTGGGAGAAGTCATTGCCAAAAGCGGCTGATAGAGTTATTTATATTGATAAAAATAATTCTTCACATTGGAGTTTTGGCTCAACGGTAAGAGCAGCTGTAGGTCATCACAAGTGCATATGTTTGAACCTGGACTATAGTGGAATTTATTATATTTTGCAAACACAGGAGGTTGAAAATACCCCCTAAAAAGGGGTAACCATGCGACCAAAAAACAGTGTTGCCCACCTATTGCAAATTACCCACCTCCGAGGGGGTTCATTACACTGCTCAAGTGAGCGGTAATTTGGCCCTGTCTCTCCAGAGGTCCACATTACCCACCCCACTACTCACAGTGAATACTGTGACCTTGAACACATGCTCGAGGCTCTAAGAGATTTGAGCCAGGGTGCTTTAGCTCATGCAAGCCTCCTTTCAGACACCACACTACGTTACAGCTATACATCCAACACCTACTTCAATTTCTTTTACTTCCATTTGACCTCCTACTTTGAGTCTGTTGCTTTGTTGGGACACCACGTCTTATCACATGTTTGCTTGTAGCAGTGCATAAATGAAGATTCAAAAGAAGAAGAAAAGCCTCCTTTTGAATGGAAAGAGGCTCCACATTCTGCCCTTCCAAAGAAAAGAGGCCCCACACAGTGCACTCTTGTTGAAGAGAAGGTGCAGTGCCACTGATAGGGCTGATATGCAGCCACCCATGAAAATTTGCGAAATACTACATATTTTACAGTTGCTAGTACTCTACCAATGGAGTCTGTGATGTGGGCAGCGAGCAATGGACGTGTCACGCTCTTGCCAGCAAACCCAGAGACAGTATTAAAAACCCCAAGCGTGTTCAATTCAGTACCTAGCAACTTACATAATGGGCAGACACAGTTGCTGTCATGAGTGGCTGACATGGGTGAAACCGGAATCGGCCTCCTTCTCAACTCAAAGCTTAATAGACACATCTATGACTCGACCTGACGAGCACAGTCAAACACTAGGATCGCTAATTGAACAGGACACGACATGTTCAGGCATGTGATAAGCAAACGCCCAGCCACCTAGGAATGACAAGATGATGACAAATGAGCCTTGGGATCATGGAACGATTCCCCACTGTGGAACAAGACTACAGATCAACGATGGAACACACGAGGCGATCCTGAGACCATAATTAAAGTCTGCGAGATAACAAAAATGTCTACAAGTTCGAGCAGCACCAGTCCTTGATGCTGCTAGCTATGATGCGATAAGGAGAATGATTCGAGCAGACATTAGATAAGATAGAAATCAAGCACACACTCACCTGCTGACTTGATTAGATAAGAGATAAGGGAGCCGTGTGCTTCGACACATGGGCAAAACCAATGCTAGCACTCCCTAAACGGACACACTAAGACATGCTCAAGGTGCCGACTATTCTGCAAGGGCTACATACTTATGCTGGGCATGCCTGTGGACTGATAGGGTACCTGTTTCCTTATTTATTTGTGAAGTTTTCTTTTATTATTTATTATAGGCGTTGGTTCATGGATAAAAACTCATAGCTAGCAAGTAGGTAGACAAGAAATATATGCCCTACGTGCACCCTCTGTAGCTAAAAGCACAGTTTGAGTGATTTGGAAAAGCAAAGTATCTCTTCGCCGGTGCTGTCGTCGGCTTAAGACGCAAGAAACACAGAGTTGACCATGGACTTGGCAGGATCGCCTTTATGTGATCAATTCCAGAGCTTCTAAACTCCACCTTAACATATTGGGCATTGAGCAAATGGCTCAGTGTGCCTAGGGAGTCGTTCCTGTTTAACAGTATCGGGGCCTGCATCACCTCATGAGCAGTAGAACAAAGTCCTAGCATCATCGTGCGTGACGTTCTAGTGCCAAGGTCCACAAGCTCGAACCCATACCCATATTATCAATAAACCCATTGATTATATACCCCATTATTAAGATTCATATTCCGAAGTCAGTGCAATAGGTTACAAAGTACATTCTCCACCCCACGAATCCGAGTGATTGCGTGTGCAACAAGTCCAGGAACACCTCTAGCAACCTCCAAGAACCTACCCTAGACACAAGACCAGAGCATACACTCCAATCTATCGATTGAGTAGAGTGTCATTCAGTTCAATAAGAGCCTCACTCCACTCACAGTGATTTAAGAAGCAATATAGGGTTGAGTAGTAGGATTGTGAGTTTGAGACCCAGTAGCCACCGTCCCTCACACCATGCGTGATGCAAAAGTGCTGAGAGCTTCGTGCACCCCTGTGTGCCCCAGCTTTGCATTAGCTGGTGTTGACTGCATCCTGACACAAATTCAAGGTGAAAAAAGGAGTAGAGGCACCTCGAAGAGTCTATACCATCCAAATCTTTACTTAGGCTCTCCTTTTTCTCATCAAAGAGGCATCATCTGTCAGCGATGTCTACTAGAAGGATTTTATTTATTTTTACTGATTCCTGAAAAGAAGATGTGGGAAAAAACTAAGAATTGCTAAGTCCACTCTGTCCTCATGGAGCAAACTTCTCGCCTCACTCTGAGTCTTGTTCTTCAGAATCATTGTTCATACATAGCTTTCTTCCATCCCCTCTAATTGAAGCAACACATACCTAATCCCCTTCATCTATGCCCACGGTACCCAATCTTGACTGTGACACAATCTAATGCAAAGTTTATTGCCTTTCTTGTGCTCAATTTTTTGGCCCTCAAATTCCTTTTTTCAGGTGTTCTTCTCTCCTCATCCAGTTGGTACCTGGGTCAATGGTACTTTGAACAGGCTGCCCCCTATGAGGGCTGGATTGGGGAAAAATTCCCCAGTGATTTTAGACAGATGAATTTGTATTTTATACATGCTGAAGTCAAAATTATGATACATGTGCATGTGAACTTATACACACACATGCCAATTCTATATACACACATGGGCTGATTTTATACACATACATGCAGATTTTAAACACACATGGTGCATTTTTATACACACATACATCAATTTTATACACACAGAGAGGGATTTAATACATACACACAGCAATTTGATACACACACAGGGTGATTTTATATACATGCACAGCAATTTTATATACACACACCGACTTTTGACACACACACTCAGCTATCAGCATTTCCCTTGCCATAGTGGAGCTTCAAGCCTCTTGGCAGACTCGGCAAAGATTTGGTGCCTCAGGACACCAAAATTGCTCCCATGGGTCCACCAGGGCAGGATTGAGCTTGGTTGATGCTCTTACAGGCGCCTGTGATGCGCTTTCACATGCATCTGATGCGCATCAATTTGGCGCTGCTGGTTGTAATGCTGGTGTATTTCATGCAATCCAGGACTGGATTTCATCTATTCGTGCGCTGCCAGGGTAATTCTGCGCCCAATTTCGTATGTAGGCCCAAATTTTCTCATCAGCTACTAGATTTCAGTATTGCACTTACTTGCCTCATACTTTTTGTATCAAGGGTATGCATGGGGCGGACAAGTGAGACCGCATTTTTGTTTTCTTGGAGTGAAGTACACTAATTTAGCTGTGGAGGTGCTGAATGTGGGGCATATGATACAAACAAGGTGTCAAAATAAATCTACAAGTATTCTATGATTTTTCACAATTTTTATTACAAGAAATCCAGTCCTGGATTGCATGAAATACACCAGCATTACAACCAGCAGCGCCAAATTGATGCGCATCAGATGCATGTGAAAGCGCATCACAGGCGCCTGTAAGAGCATCAACCAAGCTCAATCCTGCCCTGGTGGACCCATGGGAGCAATTTTGGTGTCCTGAGGCACCAAATCTTTGCCGAGTCTGCCAAGAGGCTTGAAGCTCCACTATGGCAAGGGAAATGCTGATAGCTGAGTGTGTGTGTCAAAAGTCGGTGTGTGTATATAAAATTGCTGTGCATGTATATAAAATCACCCTGTGTGTGTATCAAATTGCTGTGTGTATGTATTAAATCCCTCTCTGTGTGTATAAAATTGATGTATGTGTGTATAAAAATGCGCCATGTGTGTTTAAAATCTGCATGTATGTGTATAAAATCAGCCCATGTGTGTATATAGAATTGGCATGTGTGTGTATAAGTTCACATGCACATGTATCATAATTTTGACTTCAGCATGTATAAAATACAAATTCATCTGTCTAAAATCACTGGGGAATTTTTCCCCAATCCAGCCCTCATAGCCCCTGTGATGGAGATTATGGTATGGCCCAACAACTCCTACAAGATAATGGCTCCAGTATGAGGGCTGGATTGGGGGAAAATTCCCTGGTGATTTTAGACAGAGGAATTTGTATTTTATACATCGTGAAGTCAAAATTGGGATACATGCAGAGGCCATTTGATATACACACATGACAATTTTATACACACACATGCAGATTTTTAAACACACACATGACAATTCTATATACACACACAGCAATTCTATATACACATGTGTCAATTTTATACACACACATGAGGATTTTATATACACACACAAGGGTTTTACACACACACAAGGATTTTAAACACACACAGGGCAATTTTATATACACACACAGTGATTTTATATACACACATGCCACTTTTACATACACACACTCAGCTATCAGCATCTTGCCTGCCGAGCAGAGCTCCAAGCCTCCTGGCAGACCTCGGCAAATATTTGGTGCTCCAGGACACCAAAATTGCTCCCACAGGTCCACTGAGGTGGGATGGGCTTGGTTAACGCCCTCGCAGGCACCTGTGATGCGCTTTCCCACACATCTGATGTGCACCAATTTTGGTTCTGCTACCAGTAATGCTGGCATATTTTGGAATAAAAAATATGATAAATTGTAGAATATTAGTAGCTCTGAGTAGATACCTTTTTTATGGCATATTTCTCACATTTGGCAGCTCCAGGGCCAAATTGGTGTACTCCACCTCAATAAAAATGTGAATGCAGCCTCACAGACCTTCTCTTGCAAGAAAGGATGTGTGATCATGAAGTAGGATTATGTAACTGGCTGATAGATAAAAAGAAATGAGGCTGCATTCACATTTTTATTGAGGTGGAGTACACCAATTTGGCCCTGGAGCTGCCAAATGTGAGAAATATGCCATAAAAAAGGTATCTACTCAGAGCTACTAATATTCTACAATTTATCATATTTTTTATTCCAAAATATGCCAGCATTACTGGTAGCAGAACCAAAATTGGTGCACATCAGATGTGTGGGAAAGCGCATCACAGGTGCCTGCGAGGGCGTTAACCAAGCCCATCCCACCTCAGTGGACCTGTGGGAGCAATTTTGGTGTCCTGGAGCACCAAATATTTGCCGAGGTCTGCCAGGAGGCTTGGAGCTCTGCTCGGCAGGCAAAATGCTGATAGCTGAGTGTGTGTATGTAAAAGTGGCATGTGTGTATATAAAATCACTGTGTGTGTATATAAAATTGCCCTGTGTGTGTTTAAAATCCTTGTGTGTGTGTAAAACCCTTGTGTGTGTATATAAAATCCTCATGTGTGTGTATAAAATTGACACATGTGTATATAGAATTGCTGTGTGTGTATATAGAATTGTCATGTGTGTGTTTAAAAATCTGCATGTGTGTGTATAAAATTGTCATGTGTGTATATCAAATGGCCTCTGCATGTATCCCAATTTTGACTTCACGATGTATAAAATACAAATTCCTCTGTCTAAAATCACCAGGGAATTTTCCCCAATCTGGCCCTCATACTCCAGAAAACGCTGAGCAGCCCACAATACTTATAATGGATACTGGCGCAACACCAGGTATTTCCCTTGCTACATGAAGGGGAACACTCTGACATGCAAAAGTGTATCTCTGGAGTCTGAAGCACTGAAACCGTGGAAATGATGGGTTAAGATCCACTTGTTTCTGGGAATGGACATGCAGTGCTCAGTAGGATCCCCTGCACTGTTGCCTGGATATCTTTGACCATAAGCAAATGTTGATCAGGCCTTATTTCAATGTGTCAAGGTGTGTTTCTGGCGTTCAATGGTCAACCCCAAAGCTTGCCAAGTTATGGGAGTGGCAGGATATACAGTATCATGGTAAGTAATGTACCTCTCCTCCTACCCCTCTTCCACACACCAATAATGCAACTATTACTATGGTTAGTAGCTCAATTTAATGGTACTACAATAGCACATTTTTAGGGCCCTCTATCTGAGCCATTTGTGGTTTGAAGGGAGAGGGTATGACCTATGGCCCTCAACAGTAGATATTTTATTAAAGAACCATACATGCATTTATGGCCAATTTGACTTGGTAGATACTTAATAGTATTATACTTTGGTATATATATGTATTTAATTATGGAGTGCCGCACATGTAGGCAAAGATATGAGGAGGGGGAGGAGGAGCACATACCTCATCAGTCACCATGTCCTCCTGTCATGAATAATGCATATTGCATGCTCTAGGTAGACTCTACAGGTGTGTGATATATATACCTTGATATTTTAGTAGTCATGGTTAGAGAATAGACACTTGGGTGAGATGGTATTAAAGCAAGGAGGATATCTGCATAAAAAGCATGAAAATTGTCCACTGTCACATAAATACATCAAGTATATATCTAGGCATGTACTCATACATTCTAAGAGCTAGCTGAAAAAGAGTTTACAAAATTAGAGCAAGATTGAGGTGAGATATGGCAAAGGAACTCCCAATGAAGGGTAGATAGTAAGATGCAAATTACAGTCACATGTAGTGACCAAGTTTCTGCCCTTCAAAATTCACTGTCTGAGGGCCATAGGTCATACCCTCTCCCTTCAAACCACAAATGGCTCAGATAGAGGGCCCTAAAAATGTGCTATTGTAGTACCATTAAATTGAGCTACTAACCATAGTAATAGTTGCATTATTGGTGTGTGGAAGAGGGGTTGGAGGAGAGGTACATTACTCACCATGATACTGTATATCCTGCCACTCCTATAACCTGGATGGTGGCCTTCCCACTCATACATGTGTCTATATTAAATACTCTAGATGCTTCCTGGACTGGGGAATATGCCTAGGGCTGGGTATGGATAGGGAATGGCATGAGTAACCCTGGGGTATTCCAGGGAAGCCCATACCCATACCTGCAAAAACCCGTACCTGCACCCATGGGTACAGGTTTTTTGTGGGTACGGGTCAAGGGTTGGGACAGGTTGACAGGTCCAGAAACCCGTACAGGTTCATTGTGCAGGTTGATTACTGATTGGGGTTAGAATGGCATGTAGATGAGGGGATTGCCTCACAAAAGCATCACGGACATCAAATGACATTGTGATGGACATTTGCGAGGGTGAAGTACTCATAACATGGGCATCAAGATGGGCAATCGGCAGGAAATTGCCTTTGCGGATTGTGTACGTGTCGCCCGATTTGCAAAACGGTGGGTTGTTGGTTTGTCGAGGGCAGTGACTATGGGTGCAGCCCACAGCATGTAGGTGATGGCAGGGTTGGGTGTACAAACGACAGCAAGGGTGCTCTTTATCTTCATCATGCATACAACACACAGCGAGGGGCTCGTGTTCATATTCATGATGTGTCGCTGAGACATGGCATGCTGGAGTTGATGTTGAGCACAAAGGCGCAGAGCACTGTCAACCTGTGCATGCAACAGCGAGGTGGCAAAGGCCCAGCACAGCCATGGAGCATCTGTCATGGCACCGACGAGGCTGAGAGTCAGAAGGCAAAGGGTGTATTCAGGGCGGTCATGGCTCACCTAGTGGGTCTCCCCTTGCTGGGTCTCCCCTTATATGCTCCTCCCCTGGGTGCTCAGTGGTCGCTGTGGGATTGTCTTACATGTGCGAGGCCTTTATGTGTTGGCGGCGAGTGCTGAGTGCTAATTTTGTGTTGCTAGCAGAATGAGAGAGAAGAGGATGAAGCTTGTCAGCTGAGTTTAAAAACTCAGCTGAAAACTCGGCCGAACCCCTGGTACCCACGCCATGGATACAGGTTGGGCTCAGGTCGAAAAATTCCAACCTGTACCCCAGAGCAACCCATGGGTTTACCCGCACGGTGAAGAGGTAGCTGCAGGAGTGAGCCTACAAAGTGTCTAGAATGATGACCTTGCAGAAAACACAACTTATTGACCGGACTACTACCCAATCAATAATATTCGTAATTGATAAGGAGGGTGATGATTTACGGTATACAACTGGATGCAATGGAACCATTGACTAACGCGATAGCGACACTATTTGAGAGACTTGATCACAAGTCAGATTGACTAGTAAAACGAACTCTAACGCCCGAGAACCCAGGGATGTACAATGGAATGTACCATGTGCTAGATATGCAAATTGAAACAAAGCATGTGGTGCTTTATCGTGAGAACAGCATGGACCAACACCACCAGCACTAATCAGGCATTATCCCTGATGAGTAACTATGACCATTTTGGTTCTGTCCATCATTCTCAGAAGGCATCGCACGGTAACGAGACCGCTTCACTACTCTTGGTGGACCTTGGCTTGACTGACCACAATATCAGTCTTATCGTGGTTAAGTTATTCCATGTGTGCACATGGAACCCCCTGACTCATCCTCAAGACTTCACTTGGTTTGCCGTCTTGGCCAATTAACACTCTAACGCAATATGGCGTATCGCGATATTAACATAATGGTGTTGACTTTGATGGGCTGTTCCTTACTCTGGTGGAACGGTTTAAGCCTCTTGTATGTTTCATAGTCCTTGGATTGTGACACTACATTTGTTTTTGTAATGCCAGATCACCCTCATATCGTGTTTAGCGCCTCTGCTTCTTTACTTGTATGACTATGCTGGCTTCTCATGCTTAGATGGTCCCATAGACAAATTAATAGACCGTGCTTTGGTTAAGGACTCTGTGGTGTATGGGTATACTAGTCTTTGGGTAATAGCACATTAAGCACCATTGATCATCATGTCCCTAGTTGAAGGTGACACTTATAACAATTACTGGCTGCATGTTCTTATTGCGACTAGGTGCTATTGCGTCAGTCCGAGTCTTTGACCATTGCGAGTAACAGCACATATCATCTAAGTGGGTGGTACTCTAACCAAGGGAGGCTGCAAAATTGTAGGCTTGTATGGAGCATGGCTCCTCAACGGGTTGCTCTACCCATGCCATTCCTTAGATATGGATGAGGGACTGTTATTCATATTATTGTTTTCGCATTTTATACAGCTTATGGGGGTTTACAACAGCATATATGTTACATAACTTCATTAATAACTACATACATTGATACTAGCAAAAAAAATTGGAGGGAAATGGACTGGAAATGGTGTGAACAGCGAGCTTGCTGTCCACAACAATGAGAAGGGCAGGAGCAATGACTTAGTCAGCATCCAAGCAGAGCAGCCAGCATAGGCCTGGCACATGAAACCCACATCTGGTGTGGTGTCATGGAGGTAGTTTGGGATCTCAGAGATTCTTGAAGAAACTGGAAGAATAGGCCAGGCCATGTCAAGACAAATTCTCATTTGTTTTGGCCTCTGTCAATAGATTGGCAATGAACAGTGACATTCTGTGGAGTATCATTCTTTGATTATCATTAACATTCTGCCAAAAAAGGTAACTTTCTGCCAAAGAACATCAACATTTTTTGATGATTGTGACCGTTCCTTGGCTATTGTGACCATTCCCTGACTTTCTTCTGCCTTCTGCCACAATTGTCACTGAAATTCATTTACATTGTATTTTTGTCCAGCATGGACCACCATAGATTATTTTCTAGGTGGACAAAGAAGGGCACTAGCACCACTAGGGTTGACCCAATTTACATGAACATCTGCACCTTCCTGCTGATAAAGTTTCCAACTAGCATGGAGCCGTCTTTGATTACCTGCACAAACAAACTTGCAGCACATAAACAGTCCAATACCTCCAAGGTACAATTGTCAGGGAAGCAACAAATTCATGTTTCCCTAGCAGCTCATCGAAAAGTGATGGAGGATCTGAAAGATTTGATGGAGCCAGGATCTCACAGTGCATAGAGTATAATTTATGGTTTATTTATTTAATACAGTGTGTTTGAAAGAGCATGGGTTGGAGAATTATGTGAATCAGAATGTTTATGGGGATGGGATCTAGGCAGCAGTACAACCAAACTGGATAGCCTATCTCTGAAGCCCAATCATGGCGAGGGGAGCGAATACACTGTTCATCACAGCCAAATACACTTGTTGTCATCTGCAACCAAACTTGTTACAATTTGAGTTCTATCTACACCCTTTACACATTATTGGAACAACATACTTATCTGTTGAGGAACACACAAAGTGGTCTGCAATCAGTAAGCACCTAGTCACGCTAAGTTCTCAGAGTCAGGGAAGGTCTAGCACTCATACAGGTGATGTACCAAGCACTGACTCCAGCTGGTCATGAAACACCAACCTTCATTAGAGCCAGGGCCAAGGTCAATGGGTGAGCACTCCTGCACCAGCACCAAGCAGTAGTGGTTTTCTGGCCCAGCTCAGCCTGAAAGCCACAGCTTAGGCCTGGCTTTGGGAGGCTCAGGCTCACAATATTTGAAGCCTGAGCCGTCTGCCACAGCTTCCCATGGCCTAGGCCCAGCTCCAGCCTGGGCCACAGCTGACAGACATATGTGGTAGGATGAGTAGCACAGCCAATTTTGGTGCCATGAATGCATGTAATCGTGTCGAGAGAATACACTAGTAATGAGTCAGGTGGGGTTATAGGCAAGCAAATTTATATCTTGGGAGGTGCTGACATAATGTTACGGAGGTTTTAGGATGCCTCCATGGGTGTGTGGCACTGTGAATCATCAACAACTGGGCTCCAAACATCTTAGTTGTAAATGAGAGAATAGAATTGGAGTGTTGTTGGTGTAATGAACATAAAAAATATATGACAGCCTTGAGATGACAGCCTCAGGCTTCAAAAATCTGAAGCCTGAGCCATGGGCTGTCCAAAGCCATACCCATGGCCCAGGCTTGGCCTGGCTTTTAAAAGGCCAGCTTCAGCTGGCTTACAGCCTCTGAGCTGGGCCTGCAAATCACTACCAAGCAGCAGTAGCAGCACTCTCCTCCCCGCTCAGGCCGATGGAGAGCATTTTGCATTGCTTGCCTGTGCCTGCGCTGCTGCCAGTTGTTCACTTGCGGTAGTAGCTGTCAGCACTGTCATCAGCCATCAGCTGTCCAAGTTGACACCCCCCCTAATCATTGGTGGCTTGGAATGAAAACCCCTTCAAGGACTGCTTCATGATTGGTCTCTATCATCCTCAAGATTCTTGAAAAGCATAACATGCTGCTTGTTAGAATATTGGGAGGCTGTGCAAGCGTGCGCAATGCACCCAACGTAGGTACATTTCTCTTATCATTTTGGTTCTACATTCTCTGGAGCTGTGGGCTCCATTTTACATTTATCTCCTTTTATTTCATAGACTACACTATAGTATATAAGTAGGATACTATGTACTGTACCGTAGCTACTATCCGTTTGCCTCACGAGCTCACCGAGGTCAAACGGAAATCTCATCTTATCTCGATTTGGATTCCCAAGCTTATTTCAACACTGCTGTGAGGTGTGAGTGCTTGACTTTCTATTGGCAGAACCGCTGTGATTCAATATTCAGCTACATTATTTTGAACAACAAGACACTGAACTAGGGCCATCTGGATGGGGTTTGTGAGTCTCACTCGAAGGCGGGAAATCATGAAAGGTGATGCATGGCCTTGTCGCTGGCTTCACAAAACCATTGTCAGGCACCTTGACAGCAATCAACACCAAGAGCCAATTTCTTCTGCTTGTATGTTCTGGTGTGTAAGTTGGAGATCTGTTCTATAGGGACTTTGTCGTGACCTGTGCCCCGGTCTCAGCTCAGCTGTCACCGGATCCCACCGTCCCGGCGATCTGGCACATCACGTGGTGTCACCGCGCCTGCCCTCGAGTGGGCCCCACCCTTGTCCAAAGTCTGTCCCACTCGCTCCCTGCTGTTGTCCCCTCCCTCCATGCTTGGGCCCTCACGCAACCTCGCCCCCCTTTTGGGTGCGATCTCGCTCTTGATGATCCCAGTCATGACCAATCAATGTCAGCAGGCCCTGGCGGTCACAAGCTCCTTCAAACTCCCTGCCCTTGTCTCGCGCCCTCAAGAGCGCCACCTCAAAACTCGGTTGACCGCAATGGAATCCAATTGCGTGCCCATCGACCCGATCAGGCACACGTTTCGGGTGCATTTCATGCTGGTGGGCCTGCGTTGATGGTTCTGAGTGACGCCCTGGTGGGTCTGGTCCCTATCTTCTTTCTTTTCTGCTTCTCGTTGTTGGTTCTGCAACGATGCTGTTCTTCCCTCCCTGTCACGGCCGACACAGCTGATTGGAAGCAATCAGCCAGCCGCCGCTCCGTGCGCCTGCTGACTCATACCCGTGGGACTGGGCCTGCAGTGCATCAGCTAGCATTTTGTGTCCTTTCAGCCACCATATCTCTTGTCTCTTGTCTCTGCCCTTGATATGGCATATCCGGCCTTGAGAATGCTGTCTCGAGGGTGGAGAATTCATGCTTCAGGTCAACGTGGTTATTTCTTTTTTTACCTTTTTCATCTCAACATCTCAAATGAACATCTGACTTAGTTGGCTCCACGCAGGATGTTCGGAAGCTATGGATGTGTTGGGAGGCTGAGGGCGACCGTGTGGGAATGCATGAGCAATGTATGGTGAGTATCACTTCGCTTTTTTCTCCTCCCAATGGCATCTCGCAATACTGCTTTTATGCATGCCTGTCGTCTCACACCTGGGAGGTTGCCTGTGGCGCCATGTATGTTCCTTCGATGGCGCCCTCTCGTCAGAACCTCCTGTGAGACGGCACTTCCAATGATGCCATCTCGTTGGCTGAGTGCTCGAGCACAGGGACCGACGTCACATTGTGCAATGTTTCTTCAATGTGACTATCCACTCATCATGTATTTTGCAGATAGATTCATCCTTGTGGACTGGAGCAGCCAAGTGCCTCGTCTGGCACTGCGGCAACGTCATTTTCCCTTGACAAGCTCAATCGCCTTATCTAGTCTCGTTGGATGGCTCCTGAGGCATTACTGTGGCTTCTCAAGGTTTGGCTTCGTCTCCAACATCTCTCTTACCAGCCTGCTGACCCATCCCATCATATTGAACCCCTGCAGCACCCCTGTCATTGCAAATCCCGATTTCTTGTCCCCATAATTCCATCGACTATGACTGTTGACGGCATTGTAGATTGTTCATTTATTTATCTGGAAACCCTAATGTACATAGCAGTCAAATGAAGTAGGTAAAACCTGATACAGGTACAACTGGCGCTCAGTCGTCGCCGTCGACATTTGTGAGGTCAATAACCTCATGGAAGTTCTTCAATTCAGCATGGGAAGAAGAGGCAACAGGTTGGTCCATTGACCAGCGCTGTAAATCCTCAGGCTGCATCAAGTCCAAGAAACCCAACCATCCTTCCGTCTTGCCCCTACCATGGCCATGTCAACACCCCACAGTGCTTGTTTTGAACGCCCTCTTCGAGACCCAAACCTTGATGGAATTGTCCCCGCTGCTTGCAGCAAAGCCTTCGCCCATCAAAGAGATGAAGTTGTCAGTGCGCACGGTAATCTTGGGGTGTTTTCCATCACCCATCTTCATGCGATATTGACCCTTGCGAATGCCATGTGATATGCTGAGAATTGTTGCATGGGTGTTTGGTGTGCATAGGGACTTTGTCTCCAGGTTGTACAGGGAGAGGGGCTATGGGTGTTCGGTGTGCATAGGGACTTTGTCTCCGGGTTGTACAGGGAGAGGGGCTATGGGTGTTAGATAGAATCAGTAATAAGACATCAAACATAATATAACCTGAAACGAACTGAATATAGCATTTGGAGAAAGACGCCTTCCCACAGAAGGCTTTCAAACTTTGCTTTGAGCATTGCCTCGGTCTTCCAGCCAAAGTAGTCAGAGCAAAATTGGGCAAGTTCGTGGATGAACGGCTCGCGGCCAACCCAAGATTTTGTGTTTGGCAGAGAAAACCCGATAGAAGACGACGTGATCGGGTTGGTATAGAGTTTCAGGATTGCTGGGTTGGGGAATGCGGGAGGAATGGCAGCAGCGAGGGTCGGTTGGCACGATCCTAACATATTCTTCGAATTTGTTGCCAATTCCTTCTGCAACACGAGCCTCCAATACACCAAGAAACACTTCAGACGATCCTCATTGAGAATACACGCTGCTTTAAGGAGCTCATCCCCAAAGCCACAACGGGCAAGCGCTTGGGCGGTCGACAGCCCACAACCTGCAATCCCTTCATCGTAGTTGCCACCAGAGGACAATGCTATGAGGACCATGCTACCCAGAGTGAGAGAATGGTTCTTCTCCAACACTTCATCACTGTATACCATAAATTCATCGTCAAAATTTCTGTTCTTGTTGGAGAGACTGCAAAGGCATGATTCTGGCACAATGAGAAAGAGGCACCCAGTTTATTGGGATAAAACTTACATCCTGAACACCAATTTCGCCCCAAATATAAGGACGTCACTGTCACTAGTGATTACCCTGTTGATCAGGCCAAGGCAATTGAGGTTAGCCAACTCGGCCTCAGCCTCCCCGGGCGCCTAATTGAACGAGTGAATGCTCTTGATCAATGGGAACCCAGTAATACATTAGAGCGACCACATACCTCACGAACATGATATCCAAAGTATTGAATCAGTTCTTTGGCCAGCTTGAACCACCACGGCTCATGGTGACCTTGAACCTGGTGACCGCGCTTGATCCTAGGCTTGGAGGGGCCTTCAAAGATGAAGACAAGTGAGACTGGGCTCTGCAGATAAATCCTCAATTTGTTGAAAAATATGTACAAGGCGCCTTCGTGCAACATCTTGTTTGCGATGGTAGCACATTCATCAAGAATAGGTCTACAAGTGGAAAGAGACATGTCAATTCACTTCGAAGAGTCAATAATGAGTTTACCACTGGCACGCACACAACGTTGACACCGAGACGAAGGCGGTTGTCACCTGGAAGTTCAGTTCTTGAAGCTCAGTAGGTGACCGAAAATGCCTGAAGAGACTTTCGTTCGCCCGATTGTTCGATAGCCTGTGGCATGTCGTTACCAAAAATCTCCTGACCAACAAAATACTACTTACCGTCCAAAGTCCTTTGATACCCATGGGTGCTCGAAGCTGGATGCGGGGGAATAAAACACATTTTTGGCTGCATTATATGGCTTTTTCGACTGCCTTGTCTTGTGAGACCTACCCAGATGAGCAGTGGGTGGCTGACTTCATGTCCAAATTCAGCAACATTGACCGTGGACCCATGGGTGTCCAGCTTTAAACGAGGGTTACTAGGCAATACTCATTATTTGGACTCGACATACTGTACAGCATAATAAGTAGAGTTAACTATTCGTACATTAACTACTCATAGAGAAGTGATTTGTATTGTAACCTATCCCATAATTTAATCCAACCGTTTTTTCTTGGGCCGGCAACACGGGTCAATTGGTACTGCCTTGCGTTTCTTTTCCTTCTCTGCATCGATATGGTCAGGTTCTGGATTGGGGCCACAGGAGGTGCAGTCTGGAGCAAGCAATCCTCAGCATATTTGACCCAGCAGTGTGTCGAGATACATACCTGAACATGTTCCAATGCTGATTGCTCGCAGCAGCGTTTAACCTCTCAAGCCAGAGCAGACATGCCCCTCTTCTGACCACCCCTGCTATTACACCATTCATCAAGCTCTTCGATGACCACAACCGGGGAAACGTCTCGAAGTTTTGCTTCCTTCTTGATATATTCAGGGACCTCACGGAAGCGCTCCCAGGCCTTCCAAGTCTTCCAAGTCAAGAATAAAACCATCAGATAGGATAAGCTTTGGGGCCTGTGTGGCATGGCTTACTGATGTATCTTTTCGCCATTGAGCCTTGAAGTATTGTTCAACCAGGCGAAGTGGTGGCTTAACACTGGTTTGATTACCTTGCTCATCGAAGACACCTTCACCGGTATTGTAGCATGTCCAGATCTCATGCACAGTGTATTTGTCAAGCGTCTTTGATGGGTGCCAGTAGGCCCATAGCATCTCAGGATGTCGAATGTATCTGAAGACGTCATCCCAATTGATGTGCTGATTGCCAAAAATTGGCAGCCATAGAGAATGGGAATCACCTGGTCAAGAGTGAGAATCTGAGAAATATGTACATGAAGAGCATCTACCTGGCGTTGAGAAGGCTGAGATATGGGGTAGCACTAGTTGAACGGACGGCTGCTGCGGACTTGGAGGTGGCTCTTGTTGGTTGTCCGCAGTGTTTGGTGCTTGCAACAACGGTTCGCCAGTATTGCTTCAGGTGTCAAGGTTGGGTTCACTGACGTACGGACACCTTGGTGGTGTCACGGGGGGGCAAGCTGTTCTGTTATCGAATACAGGTTGCGCGAGTGGCTCTGATGCTGGCATAGAACATGCTATTGAGGCAATGCCCTCTGACATGAGCATTGTAATAGAAAAATGTGATCAAATCCACATACCATTGACGTAGCTTTGATAATATCTACCATTTGAGAAGGCCTTCATTGGTGAAAGGGCAGCTGTTCGGCACTCCATCTTTGTGCTTAGTGACTCTAGCATTAGCGACTGGCGAGTGAACATGCTGTGAAGCCCTTGAAGTCCATTGCGTATTGACTCATCCTGGACTTGTGAAAAGTCAATCGGCTCCTCTGGTGTGCTAGCAGTCAGGCGCGCGAGGGCCACAGGGAAATCTTCCTTCATCCACTTCTTCATGGCCGGATTCTCGAATGCAGGCAACACGAAAAGGCGAGACTCAGGACAAGCCTGAAATATAGCAGCTCCGCACTAAAGACATAGAGGTCAGGATAAAAACAACAATCAAAAATTGAGATTACCTGGAAGAAGTAAGGACGAAGCCATATGAGCATGGTCCAGTAACGGCTCGCCCCAACCAAATTTGCTCTTCCAGCAAGACTCGCCTCCTTCTCTTCCACCATTGGCCAGAGAAGCTTGAGAAAGTCATTTGGGACATGAACATGACGCCAACGAGGATCATAAGGCTTGTCAATCCGATATCCACATGCTCCGAGGATTGCCTGTACAATTTGTTTCATGAGTAGTTCATCAATTTAATGCACATAACTCACTTCTTTTACAAAAGCTGGAGCATACTTATCAAAATATGTGTGGCCCCGCACCCAGCCTAAGCGAGATGTTGACGTTGGATCGATCCCAAGTTTCTCCTGAAATATCCAAGCATGTGTCATGGAAGATGTGCCTTTATGTGAGAGACAAAGCCGGCATCTTGATATGCTTTCACATAGAGTCCGTAGAGATTTTGCTTGTGGAACTGTTTCGTTGGTGAGGTGCTGCTGTGTAGAACATAGATCTGTTCAATACTATTAGACATGTCACTCTTTTAAATCAGCCACACTGGGGTATACCTCTCGCCAGCTTTTATTCAGAGACCAATCAATGTCGAGTTTTTCTGTAAGGCTTTTCATGAATGTAGTGGTGGTAGAAGGCAAATGCACCCATCGGGCTCATGAGAGGGTTTTGATGCTCTGAATATATGTTATAGACAGGATTCACTTTCTAGAGATTCAATATCAGCTATAATTTTGTGATAAGTGACTGAGATCATACCGTGCGCATTCCCCGACTGCCCCCTGCCTTCTCTTCCCCCTGCAACCCAAGTATCACAGGGATCTTCACCTTTGGGTCCCTTGGATGTGAAAACTCGAACGGCTGAAGTTTGGCCAACTTGAGAGATCGGAGATCATTGCCGCGGTTACCGCTCGCATTTTGAGCCGTCCATGCAAGATGGCCAATGATGACAGAATGAACTAGGGATGGAATTAATTACCAACATGAGTACAGAGATCGTGGATAGAAACATATGGTTTCGATGTCTGAGAAACCCCATCCCAATCTTCTCAGTAAATTCCCCTGAATCTGTGATGCCTTCCAAGAATGTGTTCGCGATGATATCGACGGCATCTTTGCCTGGAGAAAGACCCCTAAGATAGATACATCAATGATTAGGGACCAGTGTTTAAGATATCCACTTACATTCACACTCATTCAATAGCTGTACGCATCCGGGATTTCAGTGCGTCCATCACAAAAATACTGACTCCAGGGCATGTGTACTTGAGGCTAGGTGTTTCGGCTTCTTGCTCCTTCCAGATACGAAGGACTCCAAAGTATAGCTTCTTCAGATGAGACTAGAATATATTTGACCATTCAGAATCACTCAATGAGGTAACAAACGGTTAGACTTACTGCTCCGATAAACATCCCTGGAATATCAATTCCCTTGCGTGTTCGTTTTGGCCGTTCAGCACAGTACTTGATCCAAAGAATCAAGTGGTGTTCATCAATTATACGATTGCGAATTTCTTGTCTTTGTAAGGCCAAAGTGACGAACTCCTAAGTACAAAACATTGAGTGAGAAAATTATAGATATCTCAGAACATCCAGCTCACCTCCCATGCATGAACAATAGCACGCTGTGTCTTGACACCCCCAAGTCATCGGTTTGCCTCAGCTTGTTTTGCTTCTTCAACCCGGCAGCGTTTCTGGAATTCCTCAAAAGAGAGGTCGATCATCTCGTCAGCCTCCTCGTTTGCCACTTCCTCATCCTCATCCTCATCCTCGTTCTCTTCATCGACCTCGTATTCTTCATCCAGATCAGCTCCTAATCCACTGTCATCATCAACGAGTGTCTGTGAGGTGTCTGCAAAGGTTGGCGATGCTTGCTCGGCTCTGCCAGTTGTGATGTCAACTTGCAGAGTTATCGAGCTTGTATCAGGCTGAGCATTGTCGCATATGACCTGATGTCGATCGAGGGAATATTTAAAGTAGATTGAATAAAAATCTTACCAATAGTCGAGGAGTACCTCTCGAAAATTCTGCAACAAGGTATTCTTTCGAACCTTAAGGCGGAGGGCAGTGCATGCAGCATAAAGCTCGCATTTGTCATTGGCTTGCTCCCTTTAAGATGTCAGCATTGAAGAAAGAGAGGCGAAGGTGAACTGCCTACAGTCGTTGTGAAAACTCTTCACAAGTAAGTGTAAGGGCGCCGTTCGAGTCATGGGGTGTGAGAGAATTCTCGGCGTGAGTGTCTTGATATGGTTCAATTCCCTGATTGGGATGAACGGTGCCTGGCGGATCAGTGTCGGGATTAGTGTTGGAAGGCAGGGACGTCATGCTCAGCGCGAGAAACTGTTGGATGAAGCGGCAGAGTTGGCAATGGAGGAGGGAGAGTAAAACCATGAGTCTGAGTCATCGATTTTGTGTACCTGCATTTGTGGCCCAACCACAAAGTATTTCCGAATATGGTGGTGGCGTCGGGCCACCTGCGTTGGGTGACTTTCTGTGGCATCTGCGCCTCGCATGTTGGGCTTCAAACCGGCAAGTAAAGTAGGAAATCATACAGGAGGGTCCGGTAAATTAAAACACCTAAGTACACTGTGTGCCCTTCAAGGGGTCACCAAGTTTCGTGACCGCCTGCCAAAATTTGGCCAGCGGTCACGAAACACCTGTGACCTGCCCCTGCGAAAGTCCAAGGGGGTCTCCTCGGTTTTTTTTTTTTTTTTTTTTTTTGAAGTCTTCCACGTAGGGTGTATTTTAGACATACTCCAAATACACAAAAAATAGGGTGTTCGATCACAGTCCCTTGGAGGTAGGCTACACCTAAACGACCCTCCTCATCATCCCATCCCTCGACCCGCCGCCTTTGGTTGAAGCCCCATTGGGTGCCGAAGCTTCCAGCTGTTGAGACAGTTGGTGAGAGCTGACCAGTTTCCTTGCGGTTCGCTGAATCTAAACAATCAAGGGCTTCATGGTGTTAGTCCTTCCCAGCATTGGGCACTGAAGCTTCCAAGCCGTCAGTCGCCTGCATGGTTGGTGTGCCAGGCCAACGCCATTGACGGGGGCAGCACATGTAGGTGCTAAGTACCCCTAATGAGATTGGATGGTTTGGAAGTGAAATGTTGAAACAAGTGACTCTGCCTTCCACTATGCCTTCCGCCCTCTGATACAACCCCACCTGCTTTCCTCCCCCATTTCCCAAACCCTAAGGCACGCATCCTGTAGCATCCCCCTACCATGCGAAGGCGGTCGAATATCTAGTGTTTCTCCCCAAGGGGTGTAGCCGGATCATAGGCAACACGGCTGATGATTGGAGACTAGCCTCCTCCCTCCATGGGTTGCCTTCCATGACTAGGTTGCGCCCCCGAAAGGTCTGCGCGAAGCAGAGCAAGACGGTACACGGGCTGCCTGTCAAGTAGGGCCATCAGTTGCGCTTTGAGGTTGTTGTAAACAAGGTCTTCGGGCCTCCAACAAAGCAATTGGGATACAACCACGCCGAAGTCGCGATCTTCTTTGATAAATAAGAAAAGGTGTTGGTTTAATGAATAGATAAGGAATCAGGCAATGAGTGGGGCCCGATGGAGGACGATGCCGATTAATGAGAGGAGTTCGGTAGTGTAGAGCGCGGCCATGGTGGGGGCGACGAATTCCCACGGCCGGATGGTGATGGTTCAAAATCAAGAAGCGTCGTGAAAGTCCAAGGGGGTCTCCTCGTTCGGTTGAGTTTGCCCTGATCGAGGTTTGAACTTCACCCCAGGCAATGTTTGGCTGTGCTTGTCTTCAGCTTCCTCCTAGAGGTTGCACTCGGAATCACCACCGACGAAGCTCTCCACACGTCCGACTCCTTCGTAACCCGCTCTCCATCTATGTTGTCCTCAGCTTATGTGGTGCGAGGACTGCGAGCCTCCTCGTCTCGCCTCCAATGTCGGCGTTACGCTTCCCATGAGGCGCCCCAATACAACGAACCCTCCGGTTGGCTCTTCGGTGAAAAGGTCAGGGCATCTACGCAGATTTCATATCATGTCAGATTGATTCATGGTTGACTCTTGTAGCCACCACCTCCAGGCCAAAAACGAGTGAAGGAGGATTGGGAAAACATTTGGTACATTGGAATGTTTGGAAGCATGGCCTTCGCTACGGTGATGCTCTACTACAAACCGGACACGAGGTGCGTTTCTTTCTGTCGTATCCAACCATTTATGCTGAGAGTTCCTTCGGGACAGCATACAAACGTGGGCACTAAAGGAAGCAAAGGAGAGAATGGAGGCTCGCGGCGAGAAATTCAAATACGAGCCTCAGTCACCGCCACCTTCGTCTTAGCAATCTTTCGGAAAGCCGCTCCTTCTCTAGAAACGTGCCAATAACACTTAAGCATTAAGATAATCATTCTAGGAGTGTCTATTCCATGCGGTGAACATCTAGAAGCGTGGTCTGTCCCCACATCTCCATCTCAACGTTTACTCCCAAGTCGCCTTGTACTCCTCCGGAGTCATCAGCTTGTCCACCTATTAAAATGTCCAGCTTCAGTAGTCACGTAAAATCAATGTCCGGTCGCCTTACCTCCGACGGATCGGAAAGTTTGATTTTGCAGAGCCAGCCTTGGGGAAATGGTCAACACAGGAGGAAAAACTACCCGAAATTAACCCACCCTTGTCTTCGGCAGACTTATTCAGCAAGCCCGGCTCGTTCGAAAGCGTCTCATTGATCTCCTCGACGATACCAGAGACGGGGGCGTACTGCAACAAAACGCATGAGGACTAGAACGACTTGTGATAGATAGATCGTTCGACTGACAATATCAGAAGCGGCCTTAACGCTTTCGACTGCCCCAAGTTGGTCTGCGAGTCGCGTTCACGTTTAGCCAAAATAGAACGAACATTGAAATAAATGTATCCTCACCTCCTTGTTGGACTGTAGTTCCAACAGCCGGCAGTTCAACGAACACGACGTCCCCGAGAACACTCTGCGCGTGGTCCGTAATTCCAACGATACCGACCCCCGTCTCATCGTCGAAATTCACGACTTCGTGCTCCGAAGTGTATTTCTTGACTAGGAAGGCGAACTCAGCACCTGCTCTGACGACTTGGCATGCTGAACATACTGTGGAGTGACCGGATCTGGAGGGCTCCGGCGCGTAGAACGTGTGAGGTAGGAGCAGCTCGGAACCTCGGTGTTGAGGAGGCAATCCTTGAGGAACGAATGAGGGTTCGGAGTCCCGTCTGCATGGTGGAGGTTGAGAGGAAGGAGGAAGGAAGAAGCGGGGCGTGCTTAGGGAATGGCGGAGTGGGTCTCCGATAGAGGAGCCGAGATGTTTTCACTGAGTTCCTCTTTTAGGTTCCGCATCAGCCCTTCCAAAACACGAGACGCGGCGGGGACGCGGCAGAATTCATCTTTGGGATTCATTTCACTTTTTGAGTCTATTTTGCTTCCATATATAAAAGTAGAAGATGAAAGCAAATGCAGAAGGAACGCGCTGATTATAGGCTTTGGAGCTTCGTTGCAGGAATTAGGGATTCGGATAGACTCGCATGCACCGGAGACCCCTTTTCGTGAATATGACTATCTACTAAGAGTGGGGAGAAATATTAACTGCAGCAGGGTGATGCCGCTTAAGCGTATTCGAGGATCTTAGTCACAATGCCAGTTCCAACTGAAAGCATTGTGTAAGAACAATATCACTGACGAATACGGTAAAAAAAACTCACTGGTCTTGTTTGCCTCACGGAGAGTGAAGCGGGTGCCGACTTCAAGAGCAACATCGAACACGAGGGAGCAGACCATCTCAACATTGTCGCCAGGCATAACCTACACAGTGTTAGCCAATACAACACGAGGGGATACAGCAAAGACTTTACCATCTTCTCAGCAGCATCAGCAGTGCCTTCAGGGAAGGTGAGAGCAGCGGTAATGTCGGCAGTACGGATGAAGCATTGAGGCCTGTAGTTCTCCATGAAAGGCGTATAACGACCACCTGAAAACTTGCTCAGAACGCCTGGCATAATTAATCAATGACGAACGAACCTTCATCCTTGGTGAGAATCTAGATGAAGAACGTCAGCAGTGCGGTAGACTGGAGGAACGGAAAAGACGCACGTAGAGCTGAGCCAAGAACTTTTTCGCAGCCTTGATAGAACCAGGAGCAGCAAGAACCTGTCCACGACGGATTTGCTCACGCTTGATACCACGCAGGAGTGCACCCATGTTATCTCCGGCCTCAGCACGGTCGAGCTCCTTGTGGAACATCTCAATGCCAGTCAAAGTAGTCTTCAAAGAGGGTCCAAAGCCAATAATTTCAACATCAGTTCCCTTGTTGGCAGTACCGCGCTCGACCTTGAAAAGATTTATGAACAATTCGATCTACGCCTCCGCCTTGACGGTACTTACGCGACCAGTTGCAACAGTTCCACGGCCAGAGATGGAGAAAACGTCTAGCAGACTGTTAGCAATGTGAAACAACAGGTAAACTATGTTCCATACCTTCGATAGGCATGAGGAAGGGCTTCTCCAAGTCACCTATGTGCAATAATGAGAAAAGAGAACGGCAAAAAATCATGGAGGAGTCATACGAGGGGGAAGCTCGAGCCAGTTGTCGCAAGCCTCAGTGAGTTCAATAATCTTCTTTTCGCCAATAGCCGCGTCACGTCCCTCAAGAGCAGCCAAAGCCGAACCCATAATGATAGGTGTGTTCTCGCCATCGAAGTCGTAGGTGGACAAGAGGTCGCGCATTTCCATATCCACGAGTTCGAGCATTTCCGGGTCCGAGATTTGGTCAACCTTGTTAATGAAGACAACCAAGCGCTTGATTCCGACTTGACGAGCAAGGAGCAAGTGTTCGCGAGTTTGAGGCATTTGACCATCCGACGCCGAGACGACGATAATAGCCCCATCCATTTGAGCAGCGCCAGTAATCATGTTCTTGATGTCTATTGCAAACGTATCAGAGGCTGAAAGACTTGAGTAAGGGATAGCGCACAGTCAGCATGTCCGGGACAGTCAATATGGCCGTAGTGGCGATTGGGTGTCTCGTACTCGACGTGGGCAGAGTTGATGGTGATACCACGAGCCTTCTCCTCAGGCGCCTTGTCGATTTGGTTGTAGTCGGTGAACTTGGCACCACCTTGGGCAGAGAGGACTTTGGTAATAGCAGCAGTCAATGTTGTTTTACCGTGGTCGACATGGCCTAAGTCATGTCAGTACACAGGTGTGAGTGACATTGAGGAAGCGCACACACCAATGGTTCCGATATTCATGTGAGGCTTGTTGCGCGAGAACTGCTCAGCATACCCTCTCCTGGCAACTACGTGGGTATGTCAGAGGAGAATTTTTAGGCATAAACGCGTCGGTAGGTACCTGCAGCGAGCGTGGGCAGTGAAGACCACGGGTTTTGGATGCGTTGGCGCGCCCAAGCGGAGATGAGCGAGGCTGGAAACCGAATCAGCAGAAAAATTGAGCATAATAGAGCTCTGAGACTCACAGCGTACCGAGGCGAAGGTGCGAGAGGCAGCTCTGCAGGAGGTGAGCTGCAACATGGTGTCGACTTGTGAATGAAAGAGTTGAGTCGCAAATTTTGTTCTCGAGTGAGCCGGCAAATCCCGGCTCGAGGACAGGGACACCGAAGACATGGTTAGGGTTCATCCTACCCTCTTCCTCCGGTTATGTCTTCCCCAGATCGTCAAGAACTCATCCGCAATGCAGTCGCTTTTCTTGCAGATCCGAAGGTTATTTTGTTCGTCTAAATATGTGTTCTATGTACTGACTGGCTGGTAGAGCCAGGCTTCACCTGTCACCCAGCGGATTCAATTCCTAGAAGCTAAAGGACTCACACCGGCAGAAATCGACATGGCCATGAAACAAGCAGCCTATTCCAGTGCACCTCCTCAGGCCTCTTATTGGCCTCAGTATGGACCGAATCCGTATGCAGTCATGCCGCCTCCCGCTCACCGTTGGGACTGGCGCGACTACTTTGTGAGACGCCCAACCGGCTACCAACCGGCAAACACATGCTTACCAGCTTCCCCAGATTACTGCCGTCGTCTCTGGTGCAATAACCTACGGTGCAGTCTCATTGTTCCAAGTGTGTCCATCCACATTTGAAATGATATCATTGCTCACAGTACATGCAGAAATACTTGCTACCCCACCTCCAACCGCCGACGTCCACCGCCTACGAAGAGGATCGCGATGCGCTGAATGCTCAGTTCGACGCTGCTGAAGCTCTACTGAAAGAAATACAAAGCGAAACTGTCGCTGTTCGAGCTGCCGTCGAGGAACAGAAGGAAAGGATTGATCAGACGACGAACGACGTTCAAACCGTCGTTGCGGACTTAAGGGAGGGGGAATCCAGGACTCGGGACGAAATGCGGGAAATTCGTGAAGAAATCACCAACATTCGCGAGATGTTGCCCAAGGTACGAGTTCCCAGCTCTTCCGTTCTTTTGTCTCTCATCGCGAGAATTAGATGATTGAGAAAAACAAGGAATCTCAGAACCAATCTTTGGCTGAATTGCAGCAAGAGTTGAAGTCTCTCAAAACCTTAACGATCACCCGGACTTCAAGCACTCCTACTACAATACCTCTTCCGAACTTAGGCCGGCCATCCATACCTTCATGGCAGCTAGCCACCCAACCTCCAGTATCAAGTGGCATTGAATCATCAGCCTCAGCACCTATTCCCTCATTGACTACCTCCGGTACATCAGCAGTCAATGGCAAAGGAAAGGAGATAGAGAGGGATTCACCAGAGGTATTTTAAAACTAGTTTCATCATTTCTTCACCAGCCATAGTATGATACTTAATCCAAGATGTAGTGATATATATATACCTCTATAATGAAGCAGATCCCTCGACTTCATGTACGTCTGTTTGTACGTCTGCTCGTGCCCGTTTTCCGTTTCGTCTCTCCTCCCTCAGACACTTTATTGTTCTACCCCCAGGCAATGTCCCATCCTCTATCCCCCCAATGCTGCTTAGTTCTTATTTCCTAGAGTATTGCATGACGGACAATTAATACAGTAAGACCCTACACTCGGTTGTAGCTTTTTATCCTCCACTTCCTTGCTGCATTCGTCTCTCATCCCGTCTTTTCTCCTTTTTTTTTTTTTCTTTTTTAATTCCGTAGTTTAACGTGATGCAAGTCGTCAAGGACTAAGACGCACGGGCAGTTGAGCCACCCCTTAAGGGGGTGATCAACCACCAGTCCTCCGGTATGAGTGTCTACAGGGGTCTCGGATCACCGAGAGCGGCGAAGGAAATATAGCTATATGAACAGGATGGGGTGGAGAGAGGGGTGTAAGTGTGTAGGATAGTAGTCCTACGAGCTCCGTAGCAGTGGCTTGTAGGTCGAAGTTCGACAATAAGTCCCATAAAGAAACAAACCATTACGAAGCACCCATTGGGCCTGCTTCTTTTGTTGAAATGCGATACACCAGGAGATTGAATCGAATGTTGCGAGCTTATCACCAGAGCGGGTAACAGCATCTGGAACAAGTGGTCGTATTCGTCGAATTTCACCAATTGCAGGAGCAAGTTGGTTGAACGCAAGCCATTCCGATAAAAAGTTGGTCGTCAAATCCTTATCTGACATCCCGGCACAGGGACCCTTGGCTGGCACACTGTGGACAACTACGCGGTGCCATGGGTCATCCAAGGTAACTTGAATCTGTTCGTCATCTGGAAGGGCATACTTGCGCCTAGCCCATTTGATGATGTCGTTCTTCGCGGCTTCGTCATTGACAAGGATTGTAGCAGCGGAAGGAGGGGTGATGGTGATGGCAATGTTGTCCAGATGTGTATATTCGACGGCAACAGCCTTTATGTTGAAGCGGCTGATCTCGTTGGTGTCCTTCGTCAGCATCCAATTGAAGCTGTTCCGCATGTCATGGGGAGGCTGATGCTTGACCTTAGTCACAACAGGAGCTATGATGATGCGTCGGGAGTGCGGCTGGCGTTGGCCAGTCCGAGTTGAGTGTGAGGGTCGGAGTGACGGGGTCGTGGTTGCCACAGCAGCGGCATAAGTCTTAGGGGTGGTGTTTGTTTTCTGGATGTCAGTGTTCGTTGTGGTTGTCGTGGGTGCTGCCTTCGTTCTCAGAGCATCCGAGAGCGAGTGGAGAGCCTTCTGTGCGCCGGAGGTATCCACGTTGGCAAAATCTGGGTTGTGCGCGACGAGTGACAAGAGCGTTCTTGAGAGGCTCTCGAGCTGGGAGGTTAAGACCTCCAGGAGGGTCTGCAGTGTTGCAGGTGTCTGGGTGGTAGTCTGGGTGGAATGCTGTGGTGCAGGGGGCGTAGGTACAGAGGCAGGCAGTGTGACATCGGGCTTATGGGTGATTTTGCCCTTCTTGAGGATGCGGTTCGAGTGTGGAGATGTCTTCGTGAGCTCTACGGTGCTGGTCTGGGGTTTCGGAGCGTTCTCTGCGGCCTCCGGAGGGTCAGGAGGGCGTTCGCGGCGTGTGCCACGACTCGGTGGGTGATGACGGTTCGAGTGTGACATGATCGTGTCTTTTCTCCTTTCACATAAGCGCCTGCTCGGCTGCCACTGGTAGGTGTTGAGATCAGCTGAAGGAGGCTTCAATGTACATGAATGTAGATATTTTGATTGTGGCTCGGTGAAGTTGTGGTTTGAGCTGTTACTCCTCCAGATTTGAGGGGTATCTGGTGCAAATTCGGTGTCGGATTCTGCATTTCGAGGCTGGCTACGGGAGTAGGTGTTATGCTTTGTCAGCAACATTCACTTGAGGACTGCGTGACTTGTGTCACAAGTGACAATCCGTCCCATGTTCAGCCAGCTCCGCAATGCCGTCGAACAGTTGGCAGCAGGCTCTTCACCATCGGACACCCACTCAGCGACGTTAGCGCTTACACCACGCTCGCAATCCTTCGACCTCCAGTCCTCGCACGTGGTATCTCCAAGCCAGTTGGCGGATTCTGCAATGTCGACCTTGCGCAAGTCCCTCGTATCCCAACGCACGTCCAGTACTGGGACGACAACCACCCAAAGGGCCAATTCTCCCGCACGGCCAGCTGAGAATGCAACGAGTACGACGGCTACAACAACACCTACAGCGCGCAAGTCAAACCTGGAGGAGAGACTGCGGCGCGCCACACATTCTGCGATCGTAGGGGAACGCCCGACTGCGAGATCGTCCTCTCCTCGATCATCCTCTCCCACTCCATCGACCGTAACTCGATCGACACGAGTCGCCTCGCCGTCCCCCATGGCCAGAACCCGAACGCCCGTGCCTGCAAAACGCGAAGCCTCCCCCGCGGCGTCGCGACGTGGTGAGCCCGTCTTGAAACCTTCCACCTCTCGCGAATCTAAACTTGGTCACCCCACTGAACTCTTATTGGAAAAATCCGTCTCTGGATCGCCAAAGCCTCGCACGAAAAGGCTGGAGGACGTACCGCCAGCAGCTACTGAAACGCCCATAGATGTTTCGCCGAAGGAAGTCGAGAAGGATGCTCTGATGGACTCTATCGTTGATAGCCAACCGCAAGACGTTTCCCCTCCTCCCGAAGAACCCAAAGTCGATGGTGTTCCTTCACCAATGCCAGCTAAACCCGCTACCGAAGAGCCCAGTCGGACGACCCCGACGGAGGTTGATGCCAGCAGCGAAGTGGAGGTCAAGGATGAAGCATCTGAGGAGTTAGCCGTTGAGCAAACGGTGGAAGTTGAGGAAATACCCATCCCATCCGCGACTCCCTCGCCAGCCCCAGATACTGTGACTGCCGTTGCAGAAAATGCCGTACCTGCTGTTCCGGAGGAAGCTCCTGCTGTCCTAGTGGACACGCCAGCCGTTCCAGAACAAACACCCTCTGGTCCCACGGACGACCTTCCCGTTTTGAAAGAGAGGCCAGTCGAAGTCGTCCAATCGGAACCATCAACTGAAACCGTTGAACCAAATGCTCCTCCCGCTCAAATTGAAACCTCTATCCCAGAAAGCAAGTCGGAGGTTGTTGAGTCGAACCCTCCACCTGTATCAATGGAGTCGGAGTCGGACGCACCTGAGAAACAGGAGGAAATGGTCGAGGCGCCCGCACCAACACCTTCTCCCCCAGTTGTGGACCGTTCCGCCGAAGTGGAAAGTTTGCAAGAGAGGTTGAAGCAGGTTGAACAGCGGTTCTCTGGTGTGTTTTCAAATCAACCTTCCCTTAAGGATGCTTTGCTCATGAGGTGTAATAGATGTTTCTACCTCTTTCAAGCGACTGCAGGCAGAGAAACTCGCTGCTGACAGTGTCCTGCGCGAATCTACACCACTGGAAAGCATGAACGACGCGGAGGCTCTCCGCGAGTTCTTCGCCAACCTCAAGAACAAAGATCAAGTCTTCCAAGACGAGATCAAGCGGCTGAACCAGAAGCTGGAAGGTAAGAGCAATCTATTCACTGTACATTGACAGTTGTTCATTTGCTTGTACAGTTCAAGAAGACCGCTTCGACGAGCTCCGTGAGACTCACAGATTGGAATCACATTCCCGGTCAGAAGAGGTCAAGAAACTGCAAACTCAACTGGACGAAACCGAGGCACTCTTCCAAGCTGCTCAAAGGGCAACGTCCAGTGTGGAAGAGGCATCGCAGAAAGACAGGGAGGAGATCGAGCGGCTACATAAAGAGGTCGAGTCGGCGAAGGGCCTTGCGAAAGAGGAAGAAGAGAAACGGGTCAAGGCCATCAGCTTGCTCAAAACCGTCCGGCAAAAGTTGGTAAAGGCGGAGAAGGATAAGGAGGATGCGATAAAGGAAGTGGCAGCCTCGAAGGAGCGGGAGAAGGGCGACAAGGATAAGGAGATGGCCGAGAGGATGAATTTACAGTATGAGATGGACGATTTGAAGGCTGCTCACGAGAAGGCTACTGCAAACCTGAAGTCCCAATTCGAGAAGGACATGGCCAATTTGCGAGAGCGCTACGAGCAAGAGATCATTGTTCTGAAAGGACAGGCTGAATTGGACCTCGCCGCAGCCAAGGTGCGTTCGTTTGACACTTCTGCATACCTCATTCGTTCAAGCTATCAAACAGAGCGCGTATGCAAAGGAATTGGCTGCGAAGACATCGCAAATCTCGACGTTGGAGAACTCCCTGAACAACGTTTCGCGAGATAAGAACGCATTCTTCGACCAACTCCAGCTCCGGCAAGCCGAAGTTGAGTCCGCACAGGGGCACTTGGAGTCGTTGGAGCACCAAAACACCGAGTTCCAGTTCCAGCTACGCGAATCCAACGACCGCCTCGCGCTGCTCAAGGAGGAATACGCTGAGCTCCTCCGCGAATCCGAAAGCCGGTCCCGCGAGCCCACAACGTCCGCTGACGAGGTCGCCCGTATGATCTCTGCTACCGAAACGAAGTACGAAGCACGCATCGCAGAGATGAAGCGCAATATTTCTGTGCTAGAGAAGGAGCGCTACGAGAGCGAGGCGGACTGGAGCAAGAAGCTCAAAGAGAAGGTGAAGGATCTCGAGGAAATGAAACGCGTTCTTGGCACAGCGACGAGGTCGCGCGAGAATGAAGAGAACCTCATCGCTGAACTTAAGGCAGACCTGGCGAGAGCGCAGGAGACTTCGAAGGCTCTACAACACCAAGCTGCTGAGTTGCCCATCCTTCGTGAGCAGGTTCAGGAATCACAGGTAAATATGAAGGTTGTTCTACTCTAGTTCTTATGGCTTATCTGTTCCGTAGAAATCGTCGAAGGAGCAGGAGCAAGAATTCAGCGTCAAGATTACGGTGCTCGAGAGGCAACTCGAAGATCACAAGACGCGTGAAGTTCAGCTCAAGCAGAGCAACAAGGTGAAGGCATTTAATATGACCTTCACTGAGAAATGCTGATTGCTCATTAACTGCAGACCCTGCGCGACGAGCTCCGCAAAGTGCAATCTTCCGCCGCCCTGCTCGAGCGCCAGCGCAATCCGGGAGTTGGGTACTGGACCACCCGCGTTGCAGAGGGCAATGGGCATACCTCCGCCGCCATCGAGTCGCGGACATCAATCTCCTCTCCTTCAGACTCGACATCAAGAGCGTCTTCCCCTGCACCTAGCACAGCGGCCTCAACCAAGGCCGAGGAAGAGGTCAACTTGGAGTATCTTCGGAATGTCATCCTTCAGTTCTTGGAGCATAAGGAGATGCGGGTGAGTAACCTTTCGATGTAATTTTGTCACCTCTCTAATCTTGCCACTTTCGTAGCCCAACCTCGTGAGAGTGCTGTCCATCATCCTCCACTTCACTCCCCAGGAGACAAGGAGGCTGATCGCAAAGGTGTAGATGCCTGGTGCTCTACTTATCCTTTGCCAGCACATTCTCGCATGTACGTTGGGGTAGTAATGATACCCGTTGCTTCGGTCATCCAGCATTTATTTATTATCCATGTCCAATCGCATTGCTTTACCGTACAGAATACATCATACATTCGGGCTGACAATACTATCCTAGTCAATGTTCACAAAACACAAGTCAGAAGTAGATCACGCAGAAGGTAACAAGATGTCAATCGTGTCGAACTGAAGGCTATTTCAAGACCTTGGTTTCTTTACAACCCCGGTTCCTGGTATGGAGGGAGGTCTTCATCCTTGCTGTCCTTGTCCTTGGGCGGCGCGTTTCCGGCATGCAGGACCCTCTCCCTTTCCTCACGCTCGAGCCTCTTCTTCTCCTCTTCAGCAGTCTCATGGCGCGGTGCTTCAGTAGACGCTGGAGCTGCAGGAGCAGGAACGGGTTCCGAGGGCGGAGGGCCAGCGACCGCTCCAGGCGCTTGTTGGGAGTACAGAGCCGCAAGACGCCTCTTCTCTTCTTCCGCTGTTGGGTGGTGGGGAACAGGAGCAGGAGCGGCGAAGGCAGATGTTTGTCCGTACAGCAGAGAAGCACTTTCGCCTGCGGGGAGACCTCCCGTGCGAGGTCCAGCGTCAAGGGAGGCGCCCTTGATGTCATGCAAAGAACCACTCGCGGGACCAGGGCCTGTAGGACCAGCAGAAAGTGGGACGCCAGTCTCCGCGACTGTGGGGGTAATGATAGGAACTGTATTGGTGGGCTTCGCAGGATCAGAGACGACTGGAGAAACTGGTGCAGGAACCGGAATTGGGGCAGGCGACTGATTCAAAGCCTGAGGATTGATGGGAGGAGAATTAGATTGATTGGTGTGTACACCAGGGACAGGGCTGGCGGGAAGAGGCTTCGTCGACGACAAAGGAGTCGGTAATGCAACCGGTTTTGCTGACGATGGCGTAGTCGAAGACTGGATGCTAGAGAGTTCACTGGCGTGACTCTCGCCGAAGCTCTGGGTGTCAGATCTAGTAAGATCAGAAGCTGCAACTTGGGGAGGAAGATTGATGTGGCCAGTCTTGTAATTATCCAGGGCTCGCTGCAAAGAAGCACGAACTGCTCCTGTGGTATGGCCGCCAAGATAGGGGCTTGAAGGCAAAGGAGGAATAGCAGGCAGAGCAGCGATAATTGCAGGCGCCGCTTGCGACAAAAGAACGAGTTTTTCACCATACTGAGACCCAAGTTGTTAGGCAAGATATAGAGTATTCGGGTAAAGGACATTCACCTCTCGGATCGCATCCCATTTGATTTGCTCGCTTTCACGGATGGCTTTCCTCTTTAGGACTTCAATCTCGCGTTCTTGTGGAAGATCCTCAGCCTCAGCTTTGCGAAGCTGTTCACGCAGCTCGAAGATCCTCTTGTCATTGGTCTTTGCTTGCTCGTGCTCAAGACGCCCGATCTGTCCTTGAAGTCCTGCGCGAATATTCCTGCGGGGCTGGAGAGCGGTCTCAGCATCGCGGAGCGCCTTGAGAGGTGCACGGGCGCTGTCTAGTTTGTCCGATAGAGAAGTCGCAAGCGAGCCTTGAACGAAATTGAGATAGGCAAGTCTGTCGGTAACTATGACGCGATCGATGTTATTTTTGAGCAAATCGTCAGAGATCTTAGTACTCACCATCTTTGAGATCTTCTGCTTCGGACTGGCCCCATGTATAGAGCTCCTTGCTCTGAGATTTTGAATCGCGGGCGACGCTGTCAAAGTCGATTGCGATACCCTTCTCAGTGGTGATTATTTTCTGAACGGGGGTGGTAGACCTAGATTGCAAGAAAGGACATTGTCTCGATCTTGTACAACATCGAAGACGACTTACGAGTACTGCTGCTGGAAGGTGCGGAACTGGTACTGGAGTGCTTCCAGAGTGTGCGATTTGGCTCCACCCTGTGCTGCGGCTTCGTTTGCAGGGGGCTGGCTTGCAGGATCTGGGCTGGACGGGCGGGCATGGTGGCTGGAGGGCAGGTGTGCGGCGAGCGGCGATGCGTTGATGGCAGACTGGGCCTTGTCAGCGAACGATGTGAGGAAGCTTGGGACGGGCATTGTGAGGTGGGTCTCAGAGAAGTAAGGAAATTGCGGTTATATAGCCGTTGACGACGTCATAAGGTAGGTACAGCAACTCCAAATACAGACAAACAGCACAGCCCCTCTACGCGATGATCTTCCGCGCAGACTTGCCCTTCTTCTCAGAGTCCTTGTGCGACAAGAACTCCACCTCCGTCGCAAGAGGTCCTGCCAGTCGCTGGCTCTCGCTGTATCCAAGAACATTGATCTTAAAGTGCTTCCCCACTCCTTCTATTCGTGAGCGCAGCGCAGCGTCGTCGTCATTCGTGTTGGGTGCAAGCCTTGTCCATATCGAAAGCCGATAGAACTGCGGCCGCGTCGACACAATTACACCAGTAATCAACGACACCGCATTGCCGCCACCGCCCTGTGTCGGTGCTGGGTCGAATGTCTCCCCGATCGCTGCGAGCATCTGATTATTTTATCAATCTCATTATCCAAGAACTATATGGGCGCAGTGCGTACCGTATACAGCCACATCTTGTCGACATGCGCACGATTTTTGTCCTTCGGCAACTGAATGCTCCATTTCCCTCCGTTCTTATTAGCTTCATCCTCCCATGCTGGAATAATGCCCTCCTGCGTACACCTTTTCAGTCTGCGTATCAATGGCAACTAACTGATACTGACCTTGAACAGATAGTAATTCGCCTTCTGGGGCAGTTGAGAGGGCGGAATGATGTTATTGTACAAACTGCATGATGTCATCCCATTGAGTTCCGTCACATACTGATCGGGTAGCAGACTCACCCCCAGAACTCCTCCACACTGTCGAAGCTGATGACGCGCTTGATATCCTCCATCCATCCTTGAGCAGCAGCGACACCAGGTGTCTGCGGAATTGGTGTCTGAGGGAACGCTGACACAGGCGTCTGTGGCAGGTTGCGTCCTTTGGTTGCCGGTGAATCGAACCAAAGTGTCCATGGCGAATACAGGGGATGCTTAACGAAAGTTGGTCAACGATGACACACGGGTTGGTTCAAGGGACACAACACATACCTTGACGTTGAAGTTGGTGGGATCGCTGAAGACAGTCCTGATGCCTTCAGCCTGGGCTTGCATATCAACCTCTTGGATCTCTCCGTTCTCAAGCTCCTCGTCGGTAGGACTTTGGATGTCTTGATCAGCCAAAGCGGCAGAGAGCGCAGCTCTCGAAGCTTGCAAGGCAGGACCAGGCAGGGTAGATGTAGCGCTCATAGTGATATTTTACGGGTGGAAAGAGGAAAAGTGGACTGATGAGGCACGAGCGAGAGAAACCAAGACCTGGGAGCCGAACACGAGAGAAAACAAGAGTACTGGAACGCGATTTTGCGATGGCGCGGGATCTAACGGAGGAAAAAAGCGAGAGCGAAATACAGGTATTAAAAATACGGAGGTTTATAGAGGGGGGATGGAGGAGAGGGCGGGAGATGTCAGGTTATGGTTTTGTGAGAGTCGTATCGTCAAGTCTGGATTTTTGTTGAGAGACCGGCACGTGAGAAGCAATCCCGTGCCGCCGGTCGGCATTACGGAGATCATCTCGGCCGCTGACTTATCAGATAATCCATTTTTGGAACGGGCACCCCTCCAGTCTTTTCGGCCGACGCCTGTCTGCACTTTCCTCCTCCCCCATGGATGCCTTCTACGCAAAGCTTCTCGCTGCGGCGACTGGCTCGTCCCTGACGGCCTTGACGAGTATGTCTCTCTTCTGTTGTTTCCTGCAGTATACTCATCCATTTCGTGCTCCAGTGACGCCATTCGACGTCGTAAAAACCCGCCTGCAGACGCAGCCGCCAGAGACACGTCCGCTTTTTCCTCGCCCGCCACCTAACACATGTTGCCAACCGACAAATCCAGCTGGCTGTGTCCGCAACATGTCCTCTCTCGCTGTCAGGTCGCTGCCCACCGAGGTCGTGTGTGTATGGGAAGCGGGTCTCATGAAAACTGAGCGCGTGAACGGGTTCTTCGATGCCGTACGGCACGTCTGGAGAGCCGAAGGCGTGCGTGGACTCTGGAAGGGAGCCGCGACAACGCTGTGAGTCCGTTTCATCCATCTATTAAGAAGACTATCTTACACCTTCGTTTTATTTCAGAGTCATTGGCGTGCCTTCATCCACCGCTTACATACTCACATATGACCACCTCCTCAACGTCATACTTCCGCCATTTATATCTTCGCCGACCTTGGTCCCATTGGTGGCTGGCATTATTGCTCGATCGACCATTTCCACCGTCGCGTCACCACTAGAACTTGTTCGCACAAACCTCCAGTCAACGCCTGTGTCACCGGGGCAACCGCACACCCTTCGCTCAGTTCTCGACTCCGTTCGAACTGTGGTCCAGAAACGCGGGGTTCAGTTCCTATGGCGCGGATTGGGTCCCACACTATGGCGAGACGTGCCCTTCTCAGGTTTCTACTGGGCAAGCTATGAAACTTGGAAAAGGGCGTTCGCAAAACGCGGCCACGAGGGTGCTTGGGTCGCTTTCATCAGTGGAGCAGTCAGCGGAACTTCCGCTGCTCTGATAACTTCGCCTTTCGATGTCCTCAAAACTCGCCGCCAGGCTCTGATTATGTCGCCCACAACGCAACATATTACACGGACGTTCCCTCTCATACTGCAAATCATTCGGACAGAAGGTTCATCTGCGTTATTTGCTGGGTTGGTACCTCGGATAGTCAAAATAGCTCCTGCCTGTGGAATTATGATTTCTTGTTATGAGGTATGTCCCACATTCTCCAGTCCTTCATCTCTCTGACAATTTTCTCAATTCATTCAGGGCGTTGGCAAAATTTTGACGAAACCATCTAGATCATAGCATTGTTGCATAGAGCATGCTAATCCGAGCATTGTAATATTATCTATATACTATACACCTAATGTCACATACATCCCTCCAAAATGTCCTCGCTCCGCATGTCATGAGAGTTTATTGAGTTGCCGGTTAGCGTTGTGCAGCTTTCCTCCGACGCGGTCGACTTCATTCGATAGATCATCTAGCATCTCGATCTGCAACGCGACTTCGTGTCCGATCGCCTCTCCAAGCTGTCTCTGCCGCTGCAGGATCGTCGTCAGCTGTGAAAGCTGGTTATCCTGTTGTTGAATTTGTGTTTGCTGCAAACCGAGCAGGCCAACGTTATCCAGGGGACGAGTGACTTCATTCTCCTTTGCTGGGGCACCGAATACCCTCCTAGCCGGCTTCGCAGCAGCAGCTCCGAGTAGTGCCTCTCGATCGGAGTCCGGCGGGGGCACTGCAGCTCTTGCAGCTACCGCTGACGCAGCGGCCCGCGCACTGGACTGCCTCGCCACCGAGACGACCTTGCTCAGTTTCTCGCAGTCGTCCTGCAGTCGCGCGACCATATCCGTCCTCCTCTGCAGCTCACCCTCGCTCATCCCCGCTAGCGCCAGCTCCTGGAGACCCTTCCCAAGATTACCAATCCGCGATAGCACTCCGGCCAGTTTGGATTTGGCCCCGACGTTGCTCTTGTGCGCAGCGGCGACGTCACCGCGGTCGGAAAGGGCGTCGCGCTTGTTGATGTCTGCCCAGACGTCCCGTAGGCGCGACTGCAGCTCGGCGTGCTCGTCGAGCCATGTTGTCGATGTGAAGCTCGATGGTGGCGCCCCTCCGACGTCTGCTTGCCGCCCGATGGGGACCCCGAGGAAGTCTTTGAATGCGAAGGTCTCTCGCCACTTGTCCTCCTTCGCACTGAGGATGGCGCGTAGGTACGCCTCGAGACCTGTCCGTCTCTCGTCTAATAGTTTGGTATCTGTATGCGATCGTAGCAAGGAGAACTTGTGTTTAGGAGGAAGGGGGGCAGGAGGGGGTGATCCAGCGGCTTTCGTGAGCTCTGTGTGTAGGTCGTCGAACTCGGAGTAGCGCCGCCACATTTGCCATGATCGTACATGGGCCTGGATGTCGATGTGGTAGACGGTGTGTGGTTTGGGTGTCGTCCGCTCTTCATACCCACGTATGAAGATCGCCTGGATGGCAGTCATGGCGAGAAACAAGGACAGTCAGTCAGAATACTGTCATCAGTTCCAAATCAGGCCAATAGAGCCCCTGTGCAACTGATGTGTCAGTGCGAGTGCATTGAGCGTCGCGGAGACGCTGGGGTTAGTCTGGCTGCATAGTAGGTGTGGGGTTGGCGTGCCAGGTATCTGTACAAGGTGCTCAGCCGCCACCGATCACTTTCACACAACTTGTGACTATGGTTTACTTCCATTGACAATTACAAACTTTGCCCCTGCCCCTGTATAGCATTCCATAACCAAACCAAAAACCCACCACCCCCATCCCCTACCCTTCAGAAAAGCTATGAACCCAGGGAATACGTCTAGAGTGACATCTTCGAGGGTGACATCGACGAAACCGATCTCCTTCATTTGCACAACATATTCCTCGTCCGATATCAAATTACTCCGAGGCATCATGCGCAGTACCGAAGTGACAATCTTTGTCCAATTAGTTGCCAGAGCAGCAGAGGAGAAGCAGACATCCGCAAGGGCGATAGTGCCTTGAGGAGCTAGCTTGGCAAATGACTGTTCGAGAAAACGGCAACGGGTGTGGAAGTGGTATGCACAGTCGAGGGCCAGGATCGAATCAAACTCTCCTAGAGTAGAGGGGCATAACGGGTGATTCACGGTTGAGCTGTCGTAAACAGCATCACCATGATGAAGGTCCACTTTGGTTGGAGTCTGGCAGGTTGATTGGAGCTTTTGGACACGTTCGAGGGAGCGTTGGTGATGAAGTGCCAGGCTCGTAATGCCTGCGAGGCGTGATGGTCGTGGAAGAGAGGGTTCTGACAAGAGAAGTAACAAAGATTCTCCAGTTCCATGACCAACATCTACAGAACAGTCAGTGGTGCGAGCGGGAGGGAGCAGATGAAGAGTGTACCTAACACTGAACCACCTTCCTTCAGATGAGCAGCAGTGGTCAACTTCAGAGCTAGGGCTACGATAGAGAATTAGAATTGTTCTTCTCTTTGACTCGTAAGACATCACAGACCTTTACATGCCTCGGGTAAATTCTTCGCGTCCTGAATTGATTCGGAAGGTCGAAAAGCTTCCACAAACACAATCTGGCTACGCTTACCTTCCAGAAGCCCATATTCAGCCATTCAGTCGCAGGAGGTGCATCTCGGTCCTCTGAGGATGATTTGTTGAGAGCAAGATGGAATAAGCCGTATGGATCTTGAGAGCGAGTCCTAGACCACATTGTGAACCCGAGCAGGGTGGAGAGAGAAGTGATGGTGAGCGGGCCCAGGAGAGTTGTTAAGTTGTTCATTCTTCTTGGTCCGTGGAGTAGGACTCTATAACGATTGTCTCCGATGGTTTGACGCGACAATTTGTCCTCTATGACAGTGTTATCAGGTGTTATCAGCGAGAAAAGCGTGAAACAAAGTGCTTCAACACACACACATTTGGTTTAATTGACTGCCAATATGTCGATATACCCAACATGCGCCGGTGTCATAACGGTGAGTAGACGAAAGCAATCACAGCTTCCGCGGAATCTAAGTATTAGCTAATCGGCCCGTGACACAACCGTTTTCCCGCCTTTTCCGGAAGTCAAGGACAAAGACACGTTTTTAAGACGCTCTGCTCGAGTATTCTGAGGGTAGTCTTCAACAGGTTGTGAGTATTTCGCAGGTGTGTCTCCAATAACATTACAGACCCAACTTGAAGCACGGCGCCAAAAACAAGTTAGACTCAGCAAGGAAGTAGAGCTATCCAGTTCCATTGACAACCTACTACGCAGCCGCAGTACATACTTAGGAAACGTAGATAACTGAGAATATGGCACTTTCGAAGGCCAGAGAAGTATGTCATTCAATGTTACAAGTTTGACATCTATAAATGCGCATGTTGTCAACTATGCGCCCCACTGAGCAATTTCACTTTGCATTATCCTAGCCACCAGCGAATCTATCCACATTTTATGTATATCCACATCCATCATGGTGGATACGATGTAGGGCATGAGGAAGAACAAAGCCTGCAAGCAAAATGGATGTCAGGTGGCCTGAACAGACCGACATATCTTTGCTCTAACCTTGACCGCCACCCTCTCGTTCACCACAATGTACTTACCCTCCATGCGGACGTGCATTCGAATGTTCAGACGTGTCCCCAGCGACCCGTGCACATCACAATTATACCCCCCCTCCACTTTCGTATACTGGCATCGGTAGACATTCGTCGTGGAGCGACTCCCAAAGAGTGGCAGGCGTTCGGGTAATGTGTACCACGAGCCATCTTCACCAATCTTGTAGACGAGCGGGCTGAGCTGGAAGACCTGTTCGGGGTCGTGGAGGATACTGAGCGCTTTGGACTGGGTGCAGCCAAGATTAAGCCTCTGAACATGTAGAGACAGGTAGCGCGGGCGGAACGGCCAGAAGTCTTGGACTTTCATGGTGTTTTGAGGGCTCGTAGGGAGCTGGTGTAAGTGGTTGTAAGCAAATTTATAGGGCTGAGCTTCATGCATTCTTGAAAGGCATGTGCTATGTAGCACTTACGACATGCCAGAAGGGATGAAGGCCAAAAATTGCTGTCAGCACACTGCCTCTCAGCCGCCGCGAGGTTCACTTCTTTCAGTGTCCAGTAAGTAATCGATAATCGATGCGATGCATCACTCCAGGGGATACTTCAACACGTACTTTTGGTCAACTGGGCTGTTAGCGCGTCCATCCGGCGTCGATGTGCGCTGCGTCATGGTGGTTTGAATGAAAGGCATCAAAAGAAATAGTATTTCAAATAGGACCTGCCTTGAATTAGTCGAGCGGCCCGGTGCACACCATCGATCGATCCACGTTTCACATGGTATGTGACTTATAGCAGCAGTTGCTGTTCAACAATAAGTACAAGCCAGCGCTTCGATAGCTTAACGGATGTCAAAGGGTGTGCAGACGATATAGTAGAGTGATTCAGGAAGGCAACACTTATGTAAACGAGTCATCGTTGGTCTTCCGTCGGCGCCCATCAATGCATCGCGCCGAACTCACGCCTCATTGCCAGAGTATACGATGGAGTTGGAGAGCATAAATACTTGATGGAAATATCTTCCCATACTACGTTATATACTGGAGCTTCGGGTATTCCTTCCCGTGTGCCCTTCGAGTCAGTAGAACCTGGACAATTGTTCCTGAGATGAACCACCCAAAGGAGCGCGCTCTCGCCACCTACTCTGACAAGTACTCAACGAGCCACCTTGCATCAGGAAAAAAATACAAGTGTATTTGTTCCTGAAGGTTTACGACCAAATGCTTATATTTTTGGAGGAATCTGTGGGGAGAACACACTACAAGTGCATATTTGAAGCACAGATTTCAGGTTGCTCGCTACAGCCAACGGCAGGGTAAACCGTTCAATCATCTAAGGAGCATAGGCATTGCCCATCTGATTAGTCTACCTGTTGGAAGGCATAGACAAAAGCCTTACTTTGCAGCAGCTTGGCCTCCACGACATCCATGACAACAGTATACGTGGAGACAGGCAGAGGTAGGAGAATATGTGATTGCGGGATCGTATGTATCGACGTTGTCGAGAATACAAATCTTCTTCTTGAAGCAGGGCATAAAACATAAAACAAGTCGAGGCCAATTAACCCGAAGTTGAGCAACTCAATTCCATAAGTTGGCAGCAGCAATACTTAGAAAGAGAATATCATAAGATCGCTCGATAAGTCAATGGTCATGGCATCACCGATAGCTGGGAGTAAGGTCCTTTCAAACATCAGAGAAAGGACAATGTTCAATCCTTCACGTCTGACACTAGGTCAACCTGTGAGCAGGTACATCGTCAATGATGTGAGTTAATCCACCGAATTAGAACTTCTCACTTTGGATTAACCTGGCCGCTAGCGAGTTCGACGACTCTACATGCGCCTTGGTCATGGTGAATATTATGTAGGGCATGAGGAAGAACAAAGCCTGAAAGAAAATGAACTTCAGCCAAAGCAGCCCGGGATATCTTTGCTTCTCTAACCTTGACTACCACTTTCTCTTTCACCACAACATCCTTTCCCTCCCCGCAGACCCGCATTTGAACGTCCAGACGTGTCCCAAGCGACGCGCGTACGTCACAGTCATATCCTTCCTCCACCTTTGTGTACTGGCACTGGTAGACGTTCGTCGTGGAGTAACTGCCGAAGAGTGGCAGGCGCTCGGTCAAGGTGTACCACGAGCCATCATGGTCAATCTTGTAGACGAGCGGGCTGAGATGGAAGACCTGTTCAGGGTCGTGGAGGATGCTGAGCGCGTTGGATTGGGTGCAGCCTTGGATACACTTCTCGAGGATCACGGTGCGCGTAAGGAAGAGCGGCCAGAAGTCTTGGATCATGGGGTGTTTTGAGGGCTTGTAGGGTACTGGTGTAAGTGGTAGCGGACAAGTTAGAGGGCTGAACCTGATTCATTCCTAAAAGGGGTCTTCTAGAGACCAGTACAACATTGCCAGAAGGGATAAAGATGAAGATGATCGCTGCCGGTACACTGCCTCACATCCAGTCATCACGATGCCGGGGAACTTCCCTGCCTAAGTGTCCTCGGAGATTACCTGCCACCTCGAGAGGTGATAAAACTCCATCGCTTTGAAATTTCCAACGAGGCTTTCTTGGCATTCACCACTGTGAAGTATACTTTTTTTCGGTATTATGGTATCAATTGTCTGAAGGTTTCTCATCAGCGATGCATCACTCAAGAGGATACTTCAACACATACTTTTCGTCAGCTTGGCTGCTAGCGCGTCCATGGCGTCGACATGTGCCTGCGTCATGGTTTCCTGGATGAAAGGCATCAAGAAAAACAGGGCCTGCCAATGCGAAAGAGCGTCAGTCGAGCGGTTCTGATCAAGGTGCATGCCATCTATAAATAACCCACCCTTATCACAACCTTCTCCTTGACCATAACCTCCTTCCCATCTGCCTCTCTCTGCGCGCGCATCTGGGCATCCAACCGCGTCCACAGCAGAGCGCGCACCTCAGAGTCGTACCCCTCCTCCGTCTGCATATATCGACACCGGAAGATGTTCAATGTGGAGATGAGGCCCCCGAAGAGCGGCAAGAGCTCGATCATGGTGAACCAGGAGCGGTCCTTGCAGTCCTGAATGACCTTGAGTACGAGCGGGCTGAGGTGGAGGACTTGATTGGGGTCATGTAGGACGGAGAGCGTATTGTCTTCACTTGCGCCAGGGATGCGCTTCTCGAGCGTCACGGTGTGGGAGATGAAAAGCGGCCAGACGTCTTGGATCATGGCGTAATTCGTGAGTGGGTGAGGTTGGTGCAAGTACTAACTGAGATATGAGTTGTAACTTAGTTTTCCTCTCTCTCATAGAAGGACCATTAAATACCCACCGACAGATGCGCCATATCTTTTGCGTAGCGCAACACCGCCAGAAGTTGAGCATCGAGGGAACAGCTCTCTTCCTGACGCGTTTCACCTTGGATGGTTCGTCTCCATGTGGAAAAGCAAGTTCTGTATTTCTTTTATGACCGACAAGTCTGAGAGTCTGACACAGGACGTACAGGAATGGGCCAAGAGCGCCCGGCGCACCAACTTCCTCGAAGGCGATGCAAAACAGTTGAAAGGTTTCTCAAGTTCTCTTTTGTATTTCTTCATTCTTCAGACAGATTCGACGGAAGAAATGTTGATGGAAAGCTGGCACTCTTGTATGGATGTGTCAATGGATATCTCTCCGTCAGGCTTTCGTGAAGCATGGAAGCTCTCTAGAGATACTAATTGGCCGTTGAATAATACTTGAATAATACGAGCCAGCGCTTCGATAACGAGACGGATGTCAAAGGCTGTGAAGACGGTACAGTAAGTATAGGAGTTCAGGAAGGCAAAAAATGAGGGTAAACCGTTCAATCCTCTAGGAAAAAATTCCATCGCCCATCTGATCAGCAAACCCTTTGGAAAGCCTTACTTTTCAGCAACTTGGCCTCAACGCCGTCCATGATACCGGTATGCGTGCTCATGATTGTTCTCTTGATGAACGGCATGAGGAAGAATAGCCCCTATTCAAAGATTCGTTAAACAACAACTCAACATCCAACGATGGAAACTGAAATTGCGTCCGGGGGTGGACGATCGACGCGGGGCGGGCGCAATGATCGGCGCTAAAAATAGACGCCCTGCCTCCGCCTTCGCTTCCTCGAGACTTCACGCGCACGAGCTGTTCCGATACCAGGGCAGTACACTCACCTTAACGACCAAGCGCTCCGTGAACACCACACCGCCCTCCACGCTCGCAAGAGCTTCCTCAGTAGGAAATGTGGTTTATACTCGAGTATATACTCCATGGTCCAGATAGATGTATGAATTCTTACTACTTGGCTGATATTTGGAGAGCAGATAGCACTAATAATTGTCAACCGTAGATGGTGGCAGATACAAGAAGGGGGATGGGAGTGGATAGGAATAGGTATGGGCAGTAGATGGGACGAGATAGACAGTATTACGGTGACTACTAGCGATACAATCCGGAAGGAGGGTGCGGGGGGCCACTACGAGTGCGATAAATAGCCGTAGGCATTCAAGATCGTGGTGGACTCTTCATGCGCGGCTCGGATTGTGAGGACCTGAGCTTTTGATGCCTAAGATGAATGTAAATACACGACTCTAGGAACGAAACCAGTGCCCCCCATCTGATTAGCAAAAGCGTTGGAGGGTTTAGACTAAAATCTTGCGGGTTCGTCATCGTTGTCTTGAACGGCATGGCTCCTGTTCAAATATTTGACGTTCGGTGTTCTACACCTATTGAAATTGCTTCCGCCCGGGTTTGACACTGAGAACGCGGGAGAGGGGGCAGAACGATCGGCGCTAAAAATAGACGCCCGCCCTGCCTCTGCTTCCTCTTCCACTCTCCCCTCTCGATGTTCCGATACCAGGGCAGTGTGCTCACCTTGACGACCCACCGCTCCATAGAAACTATGCCCCTTCGCCCTCCGCTGTGTGCCCCAACATCGAGCTCGTCAAACCCACCCTGAACCTCCAAGCACCTCACTCATACCCGTCCTCCGTCTGTATAAAACTTACGCTACCGGCTGGGTAACGTGAGCAGCCGACCGTTGAGTTGTTCTCTCGTGAGGGATTCCTCAGTGGTGTCCAGATACACGGTCCAGATAGATGTATAGATTCCGACTATTTTACTGACATGGAGAGCAGATAGCACTAAGGACTGGGGGTGGTGGATGGTGGTAGATACAAGAAGGGGGAGAAAAGCGGATACAGGTAGGCACGGGAGAGCGGATAGGGTGAGGTAGACAGCATTACGGTGAGTAGCGATACAATCCGGAAGTAGCATGGAGGGAGACTATTACGAGTGTGATAAATAAGCGTGAAGCGTTCAAGGTCGTGGTGGTTTCTTCATGCTCGGCTCGGATTGTGAGGACTTGAGCTCTTGGTTGTCGTCATCGTCGACTTTCCCGATGATGTAGCGGAGGACGTCGCTGAGGGTGATGATGCCCAGCAGGCGGCCTTTCTTGCCACCGCGTCGTTCTTCCTCCTGATTCAAAAGTTGAGAACGAAGATGGAAAACGTACACAAGAAAAAGCTTGCCTCGCTCTCGACGACCACAAACCGGTGGGCCCGTCGGAGCTTTATCAGCTGCAGCAAAGTCCCGAGCGAGTCTGAAGCAGTACAAACGACGACACCCGGGAAATCTGGTGATCTCTGATTAAGGGCCTCTGATATCTTGAGATCAAGGGATTGGTATGCGCCGAGTCGGACGAGAGTCTTGCCGTGGCGTTAGACAACAATAATGTGAAGGCAGACAGACGTACGATAACATCAACGGTCTCGTAGAGATTGACGACGACGCCTTGGTCGTCGATAATAGGGACGGCGGAGATGGACCGCTCGGAGAACATGTGGACGACGTCGAATACGGGTGTTGAAAGATATGCGGTTGCGATGGGGTGGTATGGGCTTTGGCCTTCCGTGAGTTCACTGGCGGGAGAGACGTACGTGCCGATCTTGAGTCGCCGCAGGGGCATATGAAGCTGCTGGACCTCTTTATGACACTAGAAAAGGGAATTAGAACGGCAGAGAAAGATAGGCAGATATACGCACGTTTATGGAGATGAACTTGAGGAGACGATACTGAGTGAGGACAGAGACAATGACTTCATGACCAGTTTCGGTATCGTAGTCGAGAAGAGGTAATCGTCGAGCATGGGTCTTCATCAATGTCCTGGAGGCGTCGTAGAGAGAGCTAGAGGGGTGCTCCTTCATGAGGGGTGGCTGGTCAACGCCGAGGCTGAGCTCGATGTCTGGTGTGGAGCATGAGATCAAGGAGGAAGGGGTATGCGAGAGTGAAAGCACCTCGTAGTGATTCCAGACGGAAAGTTTCGACGTCAGTGGCGGCATAGTCGTAGGAGGCAGTGCGGTAATAGTACTGGATCAGATGGATGATGTCGAGGACGGTGAGCATGCCTGCGAACTTTGACGTCTCGCTGTTCCATAGCGGCGCAGATACGACACCTGGAGAAGGATCAGGACGGGGACGAGGATCGGCGGCGGATAAGCGCACCATTTAATAGCAGGCACTGAAGAGCTTTCTTGACGTTTAGTTTTGTGTCGAGAACAATGAGCCTGAAGGAGACGGGGAAGGCATCGTATGCGGTATGGCACCTGAGGAAGGAGCGGATTGCGGCGAGGGCGTTGTCGTGGGACTCCTGGGTTGGGTAGTTGGGATAGGGGGGGACGTGTGAGCCTGCGCGGCGGCGGGTGGAGGGTTTCCTGCGGGCCTTTGGGGACTGGGCTGGGGAGAGCGTCGACATGGTTGGTGGTGGCGATGGAGAGACTTGATTTGGCAGGCTGTGACAAACCGAGTGTCACAGCTGCGAACTGACGACTGTTTCCCTTCTCCCCCAACCACCCCCTCTGCTCCTTCCCCAGCCTCATGGCCGCAGAATCCCCGCCCCCATCATCCTCCTATCGCTGGCAGCCATCCCGCCAGCCATCCCGCGACCAGCCCGATGTCCTCCTCGTCCTCCTCCCCCTCCTCATCGTCCTCTCAACCTTCCTCTTCCTTCTCCTCACCTTCCTCATATGCGCCCTCATAATCCGTCGCAGGCGAGGGATCATCCTCAGAGACAACGATGGCCCCGTTGATATGTCCCGGGAGGAGCTCATCGAGGGTGACGGCGGTTTCGAGAACGTAGAGTCCCGCTGGCTCGAAGAAGTAGATGACAACGTAAGACGAGCTTATATGCGCGCCAAAGGTTCGTGCTCTGCCCCCTTCGTCGAGTTCAAGCCAGCTCATGGCCTTGTCGCTACCCAGAGTACCAGCTGCAGTATCCACCAAACTCTCTTCCCACCGATATCACCCTCTCCCAGTTCCTCTCCATACAGGAGAAGGGCGTCTCGGCCTGGTCTTTTGAACCAGACTACGAGACTGTAAACTCCCTTCTCGTTCATGCTCGCACAGAAATCACTTTCCTTCCCGACCCCGCATCGTCGTCATGTGTTCAGTCAAACCTTCCCTTGCCAAAACTAAACGAGGTATATTACTGGGAAGTCAAGATGTTTGATCTGCCAGAAACTACCAATGTTGCCGTTGGCCTCGCCACAAAACCTTATCCACCATTTCGTCTGCCCGGTCTGAATCGTTATTCCGTTGCCTATCATTCCACAGGCGACAAGTCACACAACTACCCGTTTACATCAGCCCCCTTCGGCCCACTGCTCAAGGAAGGTGATGTACTCGGTGTTGGTTACCGCCCTAGGACGGGCACCGTTTTCTTCACTCGCAATGGTCGCAAGACGGAGGACGCATTCATCGGCTTGAGTCGTTGGAACTTGTTTCCCACAATAGGTGCCGACGGGCCTTGCAGCGTGCATGTCAATCTTGGCCAAGCTGGCTTTGTCTTCATCGAAGCCAACGTCAAGAAATGGGGTCTGGCTCCCAGCGTGGGTACACTCGCACCGCCTCCAGCCTATGGCAGCGAACGTGGAAGCATCCTGCTTGATGTCGGAGGGCGTATCAGAGCAAATCCTGATGCTGCGTCTTCGGGCTCATCATCACCTGGCTCTCCACACCGCCATCGCTCTCGTAGAACCAGACAGGGACCAGCAGCTATTTCGTCGCCTCTCCGGACATCTATCTTGGCCTCGGACCAACATCCGCCGGAGACGCCACCTCCGCCTATTACCCCAATCGATGAGGAGCATGGCAGAGAGGAGGAAGAGGATTCCGCTTCGGACGACCCTTCAGCACCCTTGCTAAATAGTGCAGCCCGGAATCGAGGTGCATCACGTTCTCCTTCGCCTCCGACGACGTCCTCGAGAGCCCACGACGCAGGTGCGCGTAACCCATTTACCAATCATCGGCATCAACTGTCTTCGTCCCTCACTCATTTCGCCAATACCCTGTCAGTTCCGCGTCAGGAATTGACGGTACAGCTCCATCCTCCTCCTGATTCCCCGATGAGCCCTAACGCGAACCCGCCGACGCCTGGTCAACGGGACATTCATTTGCAGGCTATCACTCCTGGGAGACGTCGTTCGGACAGTGCTAGCAGTGACACGAGCGCCAGTACCACGCCTACTGCTACCCCAACGGTGACTGATCGGTTGTTACCGCCCAGTCCATTGACGAGGCGTGATCCCCCAGCGTATTCGCCACTGGATGCGTTCACCTATGCCGACGGAGTGAGGATTGATCTCCCGGCCGAAGTTATCGCGGCTGCCTTGGAAGGAGGGTCCGTCCCACCGAGTGCTGTTGGCCAGTCCAACACGTCAAGATCCTCGGATCGACGGAGGTCTAGAAGAAGATAAGAATGTATATTATTGGTTTTTGGCATTGCCCGACGCACACTTGGTCAGTTTTTCTTCGCTTCTACGTGGCGGTGTTTCTGACGGTACAAATTCTGTTCAACAGTATTACAAACTTGAAGGCTTTCTGATCGTCGATGCTGTTGTAATGTTTTCTTCCTTCTTATCACCTACTCTAGAGATGCTGCAGGATTATGCTGCAAGTCTATGGACCCCCCTACACTACCCCACATTGTTCTTTTCACGTTATTTTCGGAAGCAACATGACTCTTTGACGCATTCAATATTCATTATCTATTTCTCCGGTTGTCCGTGCTTTGTGAATGCTCTCTTCACTCCTTCGATTGATCTGCGCTCCGATTTTCTAGCATCAGGTATCTCAAGAATGTCAACGGTGAACGAATGGCTATGGTACATGGTACAATGGTAATAAGGTGCGCCTACGATACGCAATGACTGCGCCAACGCCCATGGTATATACTCTACAGGTGTCTCCCTCTCCGCTGCTCAGCGACTCGCGAGCACAACCAAACAGAGACTAATGACGAACCCACCCAGCTCCGAACTGGCTAGCTTCTCTGTCGAGATGGTTGTTCACCAGTTCTCGAGTGGCGTCGCGGTGACTGTAAGAAAACAAGACACATCAGCCACCGATGCCCACAAGCTCCTCCGACAGGAGTGTAAGAAGAGAAGAGAAAAAATAGAACCGTTCAAACTCGGCTCACCTCGTAACGGACGCCATGGACGTGTTGTTCGTGCTGCGTCCATTCTGCATCTGAGAGCACGACGACGCCGGGTGGTGTTGCTGGGGACCGCGAAGATGGGGACGTCGTTCGCGTTCTCCAAGTTCTGGTTGGCGTTCGGGTGGTGGTGGTGGTGGGTGGCGACGTTGGTGGGTGTGGGGACGGATGGCCGTGACTGCGGTGCGACCGGGGGCTGTAGTGGTGGTGGCTTTCTCGATCGCGTGCGCCGCGCCATGCCGCCTTGGGCGCCTGTGTGAACATGACGACGCCACCCGACACCTCCTTGATCACTCCTCGCGCATCGACGTGGCCGTCCTTCTCTGAGACCCCACCGCCCTGCCTCGACACCCGTTGCTCCCCGCCGTGCCCCTCCTTCACACCCGATAGCGTCTCCGTCGACGACGCGGCCGTTGACGCCCCCTCCTCCTCACGCTCAAACGGCCCCGGTTTGGCAGGCTTCCGCTTGCCGGTGCAGCACCAGAAGTCCCGCGGGGTCGCGCTCTTGCGATACCGCGCGACATACACCCAGAGGAGGATGGCGAGGACGGCAAGGACGGAGACCATGATGATGCCGATGTAGCGGTGGACGCCTGGCCGCAGCATGTAGTTCGGGTCGTAGGAGCCCGTGTCGTCGTCGTCTGTGCCGCGGGCCGACGCGGTGTCTGTCGTCCCGAGGATGGCGCTAGAAGGCACGCATAAGATGCGGTCGCTTGGGCACCCGTCTAGTTCAGCGTCCGTTCTTGGAACGAACATGTTGAGGACAGAAAGGAGAGGATGTGCTAGCCGGCGAGCACTGGTGTGAGGAGTGGAGGGGGATGGTTCGAAGGCGTTCCCGGGTCGCTCGCTGGAGTATTATAGTAACCCGCAGCCTTCTGGACTAACCGCTTCTGTGTGATGATGATTCCATAGCGGCTGACGATTGTTATCCATCACCAGCTAAATTTATTATAACCTAGCGAGCAGCATGCATGGGGCTTCTTCGCTGCTTCTCTTCGGAGGGCTGACGTTGGCCGGATGTCGTGGTCTTCGCACACCAAAACAGTCGGAGGTGGGCTGAGGTGGGGCCATCTTTTGTTCGAAAAGAAGCATATATTTGTCCTTTGCTACGTAAATGAGTCCACGCCGCGACGATGATAACCTTGTATCTACAGGAGCCCACAGACGCCAATTCACTCAAGGCTCCAACCTCTTCGGATCTCTAGGGAACAAGGAAGCTCTGCGGATGTTGTTGAGCTTCAGGAATAACATCAACACGCGCTCCAACCCTATTCCTCCTCCGCCGTGAGGTGGGCAAGCCATGCGGAAGGCGTCGACGTAGGGTTTCATGGACTCAGGATCGACACCTTTGCTCTTCATCTTTTCACATAGGAGCTGGGGGTCGTGGATACGCTGTGCTCCAGAAAGGATCTCCTCGCCTCGCATGAAGAAATCGTAGGAGTTGGACAGGGTCTACGGACGGGATGAATAGTCGTCAGGACCAAAAAAGTGGAAACCTACCGGGTCCTCAGGATCGGGCATGGTGTAGAACGGGCGAAGCGCCATGGGGAATTTGTCAATGATGTAATAATCGGTATCGTACTTCGCCTTGATAAGTCGGCCGAGGCGTTTTTCATTCTCGGTGCTAGAAATAAATATGACGGTCAGTCCTCAGGTAGTCGAATGTTACGAATCCTTTTACCTGAAGTCGTCCAAGTCCTCTCTGGGCACTCCGTCCTCCACCAGGATTTCGACGGCTTCCTTAAAGGTAAGCCTCAAAGTGCCCTCAGGGCCTTCTCGCCATTTGAAGTCTTCTGCAGGGAACTGCTTCTGGACGACTTGGATCTCCTTCTTGTATTTATCACGAAGACCGGCGAAGATGGCCTTTAGCATGCCGTCAAGGGTTTCCATGACCTCGTGGTAGTGCTCCTCGATCGCCATTTCAAGATCGAGTCCAATGAATTCGGTCAGATGGCGATGAGTGTTGGAGTCTTCGGCACGGAAGACAGGTCCAATCTCGTAGACGCGCTCAAAGTCAGCCGCGATGGCCATTTGTTTTGCAAGCTGAGGCGATTGGGCGAGGAAGGCAGCACCTGAATCTCTGTCAGTAATTTCGTCTAGCGAGTCTGATCGTAACAAATACCTTTGAAATAGCTGACTTTGAAGACGGATGCACCAGATTCTGTTGCTGCGCCTTGTAATTTTGGACTGTGGATCTCCAGGAAGCCATGTGAGCTGAGGTATTCGCGGAACAGGTCGCCGATCGCGCCCTGCAGCTTGAATACAGCCTGATTGGTTTGGGTCTAAGGGATGGCAATTAGTGCGTGAACTGTCTCATTTCCTATGTGAAATTACCCTGAGATCGACAACCCTGTTGTTCAGACGAGTTTCGAGGAGGACACGGTTATATTGGACTTCTGAGGTGTCCACCTCCGTGTCGGGACGATTGGCGTCCTCAACTGAGAAAGGCAGGCGAGTATCTAAACCGGAAATCAAATGAATCTATGAAATGCATTGGTCAGAGTAGATGAAATAATATGTCCTCGCGGTTCGCACCTTGGAGATATGAACTTCTACATCGGAAATGCTTGCACTCTTGATAGGCTCCGAGGTTTTCTCAGCAGTACCTTCGACAAGGACGATGCTCTCATCAGCCAAACCGGCAGTCCACTTGATCATTTGTTTCGAGACCTTTCCGGCGCTAGCGATAAGAACAGCCTGTACCGTGTCGGTCTTCTGACGTAGGTTGAGGAAAACCATCTTTGCCTGTGCACGCGAAGTCTGAACTCTGACGCGTAGAAGGACCGTTTCGCCGATGCGAGAGGACAGAGTCGTGAGATCATCCCTGGGTCGGCGAGGCCGTGACTGAGATTGATTGAGAGGAAGAGGTCCATAGAAATCAGCAGAAAAGTCCTGACAGGCATTGATTAGACGAGCATTGGCGAATGGTGAGAGACTTACGACTTCGGCTTCAGCTTTGGCCTGAGCAGCTTGTTCAGCTTTTGCTGCTTTTTCTGCTGCCTTGGCGGCCTTCTCTGCAGCTTTGGCGGCCTTCTTCAAGGCACTCTTGGAAGGACCCTCCTCTGGCTGTCTGTTGTGATGAGATTAGAACAGCATGGTAAAGGGTAGGGCTGAGACTTACACGTCGGTGGGGGGTTGGTTGGGAGGTTGGGTATCAGCCATCGGATTTGTGGTTTGAGGGTTGACTCGAGGAATTTGAAGGATATTTGTACTGACTCCATCTGATCTAGATGCCCAAGTCTAGTCAACGTGATAAGATTAGATTGCACGGAACGAACCGCCGAGATGCAAATCCGAAGGACGCCCACTCGACCGCCGAAAGCCGGGCCTCGACACTCTACTTTCCTCTCCCTTTCTCCCTCTTGTATATATCCCCGCCACTCTCGTTACCCTTCATCTTTTTGGATAATGCTTGCCACCTCCCTTGCTCGTCGCTCAGCCCTGGGTGTCACCAAGAACGCCTTCCGTTCCGTGTCGGCTTGGGCTGCTGTTCCCGCTGGGCCTCCAGATCCCATTCTCGGTATGTGCTTCCGTCTGGAACGAAGATTGTCCGGGCACTTCTACTCGTTCCCTATCTTCGTCCCTGTTGTTCCGTCTGACATCACCTTGTCTTCCAGGTGTTACCGAGGCCTTCAAGGCTGACAAGGACCCGCGCAAGATCAACCTCGGCGTCGGTGCCTACAGAGACAAGCAGGGAAAGCCCTACATTTTGCCGAGCGTGAAAAAAGTTTGTTGCCCAGCAAATACCCGTCTAGTGCCTCCGTGACCTCGTTCATAGGCTGAGGAGCTCGTTCGTACTTCCCTCCCCGACAAGGAATACCTTCCCATTACTGGTCTTGCCGACTTCACCAAAAACGCCGCTCTTTTGGCTTATGGCGCGGACAGCGAGCCTCTTAAGCAGGGTGCTGTACGTTCATTCCGCTTTCATTCTTTTCTTTCATTCAACAGTCGTGCTAGATCTCCGTCACTCAATCCATCTCTGGGACTGGTGCTCTTCGCATTGGAGGTGCTTTCCTGGCTCGCCATTACCCTCACTCAAAGGCCATTTACCTCCCCGTTCCAACATGGGGAAACCATATCCCACTCTTCCAGGACTCTGGACTTGAGGTTCGCGGCTACAGGTACTATGATAAGGATACAGTAGGGCTGGACTTCGAGGGCCTCAAGGCTGATTTGAAGGTTCGGCGCCTTGTCAATTTCCGTGTCCTCTACCTGATTACGTTTCAATAGGCTGCTCCAGAACAATCCATCGTGCTCCTCCACGCCTGCGCACACAACCCGACCGGTGTCGACCCTACTCCTGCTCAATGGGCCGAAATCTCCGACATCGTTAAAGAGAAGAAACTCCTCCCCTTCTTCGATATGGCCTACCAGGGATTTGCTTCTGGCAACACCGCTAAGGATGCCTTCGCTGTTCGCCACTTTGTTTCTCAAGGCCACCAGATTGCTCTCGCCCAATCCTTCGCAAAGAACATGGGTCTCTACGGCGAGCGCATTGGTGCCTTCTCTCTGACTACTGCCAGCCCTGAGGAGAAGGCGCGTGTTGACAGTCAACTGAAGATTGTCATTCGTCCCATGTATTCCAACCCACCTCTGCATGGCGCAAGGATTGCCAACACAATCCTCAGCACACCTGAGCTTTACGCTCAATGGGAGGGTGAAGTCAAGGGCATGGCCGACCGCATCATAAGCATGCGCGAGAAGCTCTACAATGCTCTGACCCACGACCTCAAAACGCCTGGCGAATGGGGTCACATCAAGAGCCAAATTGGAATGTTCAGGTACCTACTCTTTGCCGAAGTCGCCTTGGCTTTTAACTCACTGTTTCCCATAGTTTCACTGGCCTGACAGCTCCCCAGACCAAAGTCCTCGCAGAGAAAGCGCACGTGTACATGACTTCGAACGGACGTATTTCGATGGCTGGTCTCAATAGCGGAAACATCGAATATTTCGCGGAGAGCGTCGACAAGGCCGTTAGAGGCAATCTTTAAAAAGACGTCCTTTCCTCGTTTGTCGGGCATTCCATAATGGCGGGGCGTTAGACTATTGCTCACCAGTACCTTACCTAAAGGATGTCAGCTTTGCTTTAGAAACTTAGAGAGCTTTCTATTCTCCTGCCATGATTTCCTCTTGGAGGTATCGTTCCGCCGTTCACACGTGACCGGCTACGCGATCACTCAGGAGGCACTTTTAATGATTTAATTGCCTCCTTTCAATCCGCCTGTCCCTGTTCCCCTCCTTTCTTCCACCACCTCTTCGCCCGCATAGGCGGCGAAATTTTCTTCGCTATGTTCCCTTTCCACTCCTCCGCAGCTCCCAGCGCTTTCCGCTCGATGTCGTCGCTTCCGGGCGCTTGGTCTTCGAACTGGTCTTTATCTCTTCAGGATGAACAGGCAGTGGATGCGCAAAACACCGTAAAGGTGCCGGAATGCACGATATTCGCCGACACCTTTCAGCCGAGTCGAAACGCTCATCCCGCCCTGAGGGAATTGGCCAGGAGTGAAGGGGGACGGTCTCCTACTCCCACAAAGTCCCCTGTGTGCGACTACCGAGTCTCCGTCGCTCTCTCTGAGGAGTCAACGGCGTCGGATGACTTTTACAGCTTCACATCTCATGAGGTGAGCCTCCTCATGTCCGCTGTAACCGCATATTTCTGACGGAGGGGATGATAGGATCCCGACACGACTTTGCATGCGAATATGACTGTGGTGCGTCTCGAATGTGATGCGTTTGTTTGTCGCTAATCCCAACCCATGCCAGATCTTGCCTAGCAAGGGGATGGAAAATTCGGACTCTACCAAGGGCTCACTCCACCACGCCGAATCAAGCTTTGGCTCGACTGAGTTAGCCTTAAGCTTACATGGAAGTTCCACTGGAGACGCCACTTTATCAGATATCGCTTCGTCCGAGGCCTCATTACGGCGATCCGGCAGTTCGTCTACGAAGGCATCACGCATCGTTCTGGACAAAGATTCACCAGCCAGTGTTTCTCGATTGCAGGCAGAGGTCCCACCAGAAATTTCTATTTCTTGTGGGTCGCCCAGAAGTATTGCGTCTGCGAGGTTATCTGCTTCGTCCTATATGCATGATGCAGACGACGACGGTTCCCGCTTTTCGGCCTATTCAAATTATTCGGCACCCGATTATGCAGGACTTCATAACTTTCTTCGCCACCGAGCCGCCGAGAGTTCCGAAGAAAGCATAGGCTTACGGCCTCCTGGATTTTGGGAATTTGAGCCTCACGCCCGTCGCCAACGAATTATCGAAACCAGTAATTATGAACCGCCGAGCGGTAGTCTGCTCTTATCCCAGCCGGATGGAAATAACCCCTGGACACTTTCCTTGGATCCATCCCTCACGTCAGAGTCGGTATCGCAGTCCTCGGCCTCCTGTCGGTCAGTCACGACGTCGCTCGCCTCGCAGAATGAAGGACCTTTCAACAGGCATACCCCTAGTCCTTCTTTTGTCTCTTCCTCCCCCCAACTCAATACCGCCTTTATTCGGCCTTCATTCCGTCACCCATATGGAGGCGATTTTCCCGACGTGGAGGTCAGCACAACCCGACAGGGCTCCCATATGTCTATTCGCGGTGAACGCCGAGAGTACAGCGCCATGGAATTCTCTCAGAAAGCGCCAGCCGCACCGAAGAAAGCATTGAAAAAGACGAAGCAGTTCTACCTCAAGATCAAGAAGCTGTTCACAACAAAGGCATCAACTTCGTCAAGATCAATTACGCGCCGGGCATTAAATGACTCTTCATTAGGACGGAGTCAGGGCCTGTACGTGTTCCCAGGTATAGACGTTCAGCAAGCAGTGCCTTCGCTCAGCTACCACTCGGATACACCGTCGACTCAAGGATTCCCGCAGCCGCAGACTCCGTCTCAAAGCTCTATCTACCGGCGCCCATTCACCCGTTCGCTCAAACTATCTTCACCATCCGTCGCTCTTTCTTACACTCCCGACCGCACGTCCAACTACCCCGCCTCCTCAGTGGGGGAACGCTTCACTTACGAATACCACGCCAGACCGAGGACGCTCTCGGAGATCAAGTCCAAGAGACGTTTCTCGCTCCCCACCATCTTTACGAAACCCACCGTCTCTCGTCCGAACAGTTCCTCGGGGCGTACCATCAATGCCTCGAGAACCCATATCCCTGAAGATGTTCCTCTCGAACAGGGCGATTCTCAACACCTTAGACCTACCTACGCTTGATGCGACACTTTATCCTCGCTCTGGAAACCCACTCACCCACACATGACTCGAACACAGACTTTTGGACTTTGGAACGGAATTCGTAGGAATAAAACGCCTTGACGTCTTGATGACATACCTCTCGGGATGGATTGGCCTCTTGAAAGGTTGGTTGTATTGTATTGATTCTCCTTTCTTTACATTATTGTAAGTTATATATCCAAGTCTTCGTCTGGGTCATCGTCGTCGATGTCGTCCGCAGAATCAGGATCATAGAATATTGCACCAGGTGTGTTGATCGTTATCGGTTTTCCTACGCTCAGGTAAGTACGAGGAAGAGAAAGCGACGAAAGCTCGCCTCACCCTCGTGAGCGTAAGGCAAAGGAACCTGAGACCTGGACTCCTGCTGAGAGCTAGTTAGGTTGAGGTTGAAAGACAGGTTCTGCGTTGGATCTGGACCAGAAACCTGCTGCAGCACCGCTGAGTAAAGGTTGCGAAACTGGGATGAACTTCAAGTAAGTATTACCTCTTGCTGTGGCTTCTTCACGAACTGCTTCAACCCTTCCAAAGCAGACAGTTCACAAGGCCCATCTAGAGCACTTGACCACCCTTCCAGAACGCGCTCGACACCCCGCTTCCTCCCAGCGCCTTCTCGTACAATCAGCTCGACGACAAACTCGGCAGGGTTCCCGCTCCCCTCGCCACTTGAGCCAAAAATTAGGCGCTCGGTGTCGTGCACTCGTTCGCTCATAGGCAGGAAGAGTCCCCAGAATTTTGGAAGAGGTGAGAGTGGAGGTGGAGGCATGAGGAACTCGGTCGTGAGGTGCGTTAGGAGGGCCGTTGGATGGGTAATGATGTGCGCGAGGGAGGAGCAGAAGGACGTTTGGGAGATGAGGGGCAAAAGCGTAGATGGGGACTGAGAATGCAGGATGAATCGTGCGTCTAGAGGGACTATAGTTAACTGGGCGATCTTCCTGGGAGATTCGAGGGGTACGCACTAGAATGCCTTTTAACAAGCGCGTAGACTTTGGAGAGGCATTTGTACGTCTCAGACAAAGATCCTTTATCGGCGAGCAAGGTGTCCATCGAGTCCACGATGACATTCGTAGGACGAGAGGGATCCTGTAGAGCTGAATATACAACGCGTATGAAGACGATATCTTGGGCCCTAAAAATATGCGGAGACGCACCGTTCTCGACGAGCTCAAGCAGCTCACTTTGGGAATCTGCGTCATCGTATCCTGGAACGCGTTCCATCCAATCATGTACCTCGACAGAACTCTGGGAAGACGTTGGCAATAAACTGGATGGAGGGTACAGCAAGCAAAAGAGAATTGTCTGGCCGGCGGATGATGTAAACTTGCTCTTCGGGTCTGGTTCTAGAAAGCGACGGAGAATAGGCAAGCTGCTTTGTGCCAGAGAAGATTGGACTATCACGAGGGGGATCCGCTGGGAGTCATCATTCAGGATGGATGGAAGAAGGACCATCTTGGGAGATAAAGATTTCGGGATATGGTCACGGTCATGGTCAGATCTACACGAAATCCATTTTTGGCATACGCCTGTAATTACATCATTTCAAGCGCCGACGCCGTGTTCTATCTTCGAGGTACACTGGAGATCGTATGAGCAAGCGTAGGGGGAACTAGGTACTATGTCGTCATATGCTCACTCAGTGGGACTGGCTCTTCTTCGTCCAACTATCTCGAGAAAGGTATCGTACGCCCAAATTCCACTGCAAAATGCCGACCTTCTTCGTGTGATGGTCGAGTTCGAAGCCTGCTGCACGGAGACACGTACGAAGATAAAGAATGAGGGGAGAGTCTGTCGCTTCGATCCTTTCGAGCTTGGGGTCGGTGTTGAAAGCGTGTTTGACAGCGTAGTCCAGCAGGTCATCTTGGATGTTGGACTTCCGAAAGCTCTCTTCGACATGGAAGTGTCGTATAAGGGCGGTTTGCGGTGCCTTCTGCTCGTCTTTGACCTTTTTCGCTGGTGGGGCATCCATGGCGATGAGGCCAACAAAGGTATTCCCAAACTCGAGCAGCCAGAGACCCGACGCAGGTGAACGCGAGTAATAACCAGATATGTCTGACATGTCTGTATAGCGAAGGACGTCCTGTGTGAGGGACTCGAAGTACGGACGATTAATCCTGTTAATTTATTTAATGGATTAGGTGCTGTCGAAAGCAGAGGGTGGAAATCACGCACCAGTCGACGAAGAACATGACCGGGACAGCAGTAGAGGCGAAAGCAGGAATGGGCTTGAGGTACCCCATAAAGCCGTGCACGGATGCAGGCCACCAGTTCATGAGATGGATGAACACTGAGGACAGCGCAACCCATATCGCAATCGTGATAGGATGGGTGTAGACTAGACATCCGTGTAAGCGCTCTTGGTTTGTGGGTGGTGGACGGTTCATCTCACCTTTGTTGTTCGCGACGGCCAACCCCTGGAGATTTGCCTTGCTGACCATGAACTGGACGAGGTTCTTGTCTGCTGGCTCATATGGGCGGATGCGGGCAACGGAGTCGGCCATGTAGGGGTAAGGGGATGAGCGCCATTGTCAAGTTTTTGAGCAGGCTTGTCCAGCGGCCCGTCAGGAACGACGCACGTTTGCGTATGTAAGCAGTCTATTTTTGGAACAGATCGCACTATAATTGGCCCTGATCCCAGCTGATCGATCCGATCCCCACTCTTCACCCAAGCCTCCACCACCGCCATGCTCATCAACAAGACTTTCCACGACATCCCAACTCAGCTTGACAATGGAAAGCCTATCCGCATCTTCATTATCGCCCCCGAGGTCCCGGACTATCCGGAGGCCAAGTTTCCAGGTAAGTCATTGCGATCGCTTTTTCTGATCGCTGTGTTTGACATCGCACAAACAGGCGTCGTAGTATTCAGGTATGAGCGATCAATAAATCGATAGGTATACAATAATTAAATCCATCATTGGTAGTGAAATCTACCAAGTGACTGGCCCTGTTGAGCGCTTCGCCGGCCAGATCGCGAGCCAAGGATATGTCGTCGGTATGTGTTTTCTTCCACATACAGAATATTCCTCCAGAAAGCATATGCCTTGTCCAGCGTGCCCTTCTGTCTATCACGAATTCGAAGGTCCTGAAGCTCTCCCGTACGATGTCGAAGGTATGTGTTTGACCTATCCATATCTCATATCGCGATCGGATTCATATTCTTACGGGCATACTTGCGCTTAGGAACGGACCGAGGAAATAAATATAAGGTCGATCAACATAATCGCTGAAGTCGCGAATAACACTGACGTTCTTCTCATAGATCGAGAAGAAAGTCGAGGCGTACGACGAGGTCGGTTTCTTGGCCCGCCCTTTATAACCAAATATGGAAACTCATAATTCCTTCCAGGACGCGAAGCTCACCATCGACCTCCTCGTCTCCTTGAAGAACTGCAACGGAAGGATCGCTGGTGAGCTTCTATCTTTCCCGAACGGTACCCACTTCATTCGGCTGACTCTCCCTAAAGCTACTGGCATGTGTCTGGGTGGCCACTTGGTACGCCACACTTTCCTTAAACTCACTACCCTCGGTCCCGAAGAAACGTGGATCACCTACAACTCAAATTAGGCTTTCCGGGTGCGTCACAATGCAATATCTCACAAAATCGATAGCTGAATGGTCCGTTTAGGCCGCTTTTGACCCTCGCGTTCTCGCGTCCGTCTGCTTCTTCGGCACGGATATTCACAGTGCCACGCTTGGCAAAGGAAAGAGTGATGATTCCCTTATCAGGGTGCGAAATGGCGATTTGAGCGGAAAAGGAGAACTCGTTGTATGTCAATACTAAAAAGCATTATCTCGCCAGTTACTGACTAACAAAATAGATGATATTCGGGAAGCAGGTTTGTCATCCGTAAGCCTAGATTACGATTGGTCAGTGAGCATGTTGTCCCTAGGACACGCACGTCCCGCGCGAAGGTAGAGACCTCATCAGGAAGACGCTAGAGGATGCAAACATACCAGTCTCTGTAAGCTTTCACTCCCCAATGCTTAACTCATCTTGACGTCCTTGCTTTCTCGTAGTTCCTCGAGGTACAAGCGCAACACGCTTTCGTCCGTGACGAGCAATCTAAGGGGAGGTGGGACGCAGCTTTGACCAGGTCCCTCTTTACTTTCGTGATGGAAGTGTTCGAGAGGACTGCTGGTCGCGATCTCGGACCGAAGGTCGCTCAGGGGAAAGCACCCGAACACGTTTGCTGAATGACTGAAGAGGCTATCTGATTCTATCTGATTCCGCCACTACAAACAAAATGTGTTGGACATTTGAAATTCAAATTCAATATTCAGATTCATTGTCGTACACACGGACGTATTCATTTTGAGAAGCTCTTAGCCTCATGCCCTTACTCGGAAAGCAGGCAACAATAATCAGAAGCGATTCTCTTAGATCTTTCGCGGAGTGTGGCGAACGTGAACGCCAGGCTTCGTCATTGTGAATACAGATGTGTAGAGAGAGCAAAGGAAACACGTTGCAGATGAGTACCAGGATGTTGAGGAAAGGCGAAGAAAAAGAAACCAGATAAGACGAGAAAACAATACAATGAATCTACATCTAGTTTACTTCTTCTTGGCAGCCTTCTCAGCCGACTTCGTCACTAAAGGGCACTTTCAGTGTGAATTCGGGACGAAAATGGAGGATACGCTTACCCTTGCCTCCAGTCTTGTCGGTCTTCTCGACAGACTTGATGATACCGACGGCGACGGTCTGTCTCATATCACGGACGGCGAAACGACCGAGAGGAGGATATTCGTTGTAAGACTCAACGCACTGACGGAGGTTTCAAATAATGTACTTTATCGTCGAGGATGTGACGTACCATGGGCTTGCTGGGAATGAGCTTGACGATGGCGGCGTCACCAGACTTGACGAACTTGGGCGAGGCTTCGATCGATTTACCTGTCCGGCGATCGATCTTCTCGATGAGCTCAGCGAACTTGCAAGCGATGTGGGCAGTGTGGCAATCCAAGACGGGGGCGTAGCCAGCACCAATCTGACCAGGGTGGTTGAGGACGATGACCTGTGCGTTGAAGGAAGCAGCCTCCTTGGCGGGGTCGTTCTTGGAATCGGAGGCAACGTTTCCACGACGGATATCCTTAACGGAGACGTTCCTAAAAAGATAATCGTTCAGACCCTGGGGAACAGATGCCGCGGAAAAGTTGAGACGCACTTGACGTTGAAGCCAACGTTGTCACCAGGGTTGCCCTGCTCGAGCTGCTCGTGATGCATTTCGACGGACTTGACTTCAGTGGTAACGTTAGAGGGGGCAAAGGTGACGACCATTCCGGCCTTGATGATACCGGTCTCAACACGACCGACGGGCACAGTACCGATACCACCGATCTTGTAGACATCCTGGAGGGGGAGACGGAGGGGCTTGTCGGAGGGACGGACGGGGGGCTCGATAGCATCAATAGCGTCGAGAAGGGTCTTACCCTTGACAACACCAGCCTTGGTCTCCTTGGTCCAGCCCTTGTACCAGGGCATGCTGCAGGAAGGTATCAGTACTACTCTGACCGACAGCACATTACGGACGTACTTGGCGGACTCCTCCAGCATGTTGTCACCGTGCCAGCCGGAGATGGGCACAAATGCGACAGCCTTGGGGTTGTAACCGACCTTCTTAATGAAGGTGGAGGTTTCCTTAACGATTTCGTTGAAGCGGTCCTCACTCCACTAGATAACGCAAAATATGTTAACATCGAGCGAAAAACACGGGCAAGGAGAGCAAACCTTGGTGGTGTCCATCTTGTTGACAGCGACAATGAGTTGACGGACACCGAGAGTGAAGGCGAGGAGAGCGTGCTCGCGAGTCTGACCGTCCTTGGAGATACCAGCCTCGAATTCACCAGTTCCTCCAGCGATGATGAGGATAGCGCAATCGGCCTGAGAGGTGCCAGTGATCATGTTCTTGATGAAATCACGGTGTCCGGGGGCATCGATGACCTGTAAACTCAAAATCAGCCACTGATTAGATAGATCAACAAGGGGCGATACACACGGTAACCATGTACTTGGGCGTTTCGAACTTCCAGAGGGCGATATCAATCGTGATACCACGTTCACGCTCAGCCTTTAGCTTGTCGAGCACCCAGGCTGCAGACAGACAGTGCGATTAGAAACTAGTTCGAATGGCATTTTGGAGACGTAGCTTACCGTATTTGAAGGAACCTTTGCCGAGCTCAGCAGCTTCCTTCTCAAATTTCTCGATGGTTCGCTTGTCAATGCCACCACACTTGTAGATCAAGTGGCCAGTGGTGGTCGACTTGCCGGAGTCGACGTGACCGATGACTAGAAGGGTCAATGAGATGCGATCAATGGGGATCGGTAAGATAAGGTCTACTCACCGACGACATTGACGTGAGTCTTTTCCTTTCCCATTTTTATGAGTTCTGGAAGAGAAAATGTGAGCACGAATGCACTATAGGATCGCAGACGATACGAAGAGAGAAAAAATTGCATCGCGACGACGACAATCGGATCCATCGATGGG